ATTTAACAAAAGAACAGAGATCCGTCCTTTTTGAACTGAAAAGAAAAAAGACTACTCGGTCTCGTCTCTTAACATTTTTCAGTTCCAAGTAAATTATGATTTGTAAATAAATTCGAGCAATTGAGACCACACTGAAATAATTACAAGATTCAAATTCACTAAAAGTTTCAACGTATTTGAAATTTTAGATTTTCAGAGCGGATGGAAACGTTAAAATTTAAAATGTTCTTTAAAATGTTCCCAGATAGATAACCCATCTCCCAATCTTCTTCTTCATTGGAGGGGGTGAAAGTTTGCTGTGTGGTTTGGTTTGGTTGGAGACCAAGGCAGCAGCTATTACTTTAGAGAATGAGTGCCCCCGGGTCACACTTAATAAACAAAGGAGAGAAAGGAAATGCTTTATTACAAAGGAAAGCAGCAGCAGCAGAAACAAGAACACGATTTAATCCAACCAACCTCCAGCTTGGGGGAGACATCACATCGCAGTGAGGAGGAGGACAAATGCAGTTCCTATATAGCAATTTCACTATCACGCCGTGTTTGAAGTTTTATTCTAGAAAGTTTTGTTCCACGATTTGATAAGATTTTAGAATCTATCGCCGTTTAGTTGTAAAAACTCGTCGTTTCTTTAACAAAAAAACATGTTATTTTCAGTCTGTGTAAATCAAATTGTTCTAGAATGCATATCGGACTGTACATCACCGGTGTTTATCCTTCTTGCATAATCACATCGTCTCATTATATCCTCCCATCTGTAATTTAGAGGGAACGATAACAACTCGGCCAGGGGTATTCTCCACGGCGTGCTTTATACATAAGTATAATTCGAGAGGGGAACGTACTCCGGTTGCGGTTTTATAAAAATAAGTCACGCACATGGAAACATTTACCTTATTAACCAAGTACTGCTACTGGTACTGCTCGTATGCATAGAGTCGAATTGTATGGGGTCGAATAATATGGGAGGACCGTGCTGACTCCTTGTTGTCCCAGCTCACGTAGCAACACAATTTCTCATCCACATTCAGCAATTCACTGCTCCCTGGAGAAATACAAACTCCTGACTGAACAGAACACTGGCTGGTGGATGGACCAACAAGAAAGAGACCAGAATAATGCTACCGTTTCCATTCAACTCAATGAAAAGTTTATGGTCCAAGTTTGACATGGGAATGATTTCTGGATTGTTCAATTCGACAAAGGAAACAATTTCCAGAACAAAAAATACAGATTCACGAGTCCATGCAAATGAAGTAGTATTACGAACAATATTTCAAATTTGAAAGTCAAAGTGGACCATTAAAAGTAAATTTTGAAACTTCCGTCGCACGCCCGCGGAGATATTAAAGAGTGGTCGGCTAGAGTCAAGTCAGCTCATAAATTACTGTGTGACCTTATGAAAATGAAATTACTTCTGAGCTGTGCTTCTGCTGGGTGCCACCACCATTCAATAATTTCCATTTCATTTAATTATGAGTATGAAATGGTTCTGTGAGTAATTGGATGTGACTGAACTGACCCCATTAATATTGAGTTTGAATGGCACCCTACGCTGTGTAGATTGTGCAGGAACATGGCAATATTAAATATGTACATGCAAAGGTCAAGGAAAAAGGAAATGAAACTCGAGACGTCATCAGAAACTTGGTCACATATTATTTTGCTTTTAAGAATGTATGTAAGTTGCGAGCAGCATCGGTCAGTTGCTGAATAAAGTCCCATACTAATTCGATTTCTAGTAACAAATCGGCATAAATGCATGGTTTACTTGATTTTCAACTATTTTGTCTTCTAAAAGCTACATAGTTGCAAGGCCAGGTAGCAGAAATCACTAAAGTTAAGGTGTACACATGCCGTTCGTATTTACTTATATCACGAATAACGCAGTATTGCAGTCACATCACTCGAGTAAAATTTACCCTTCTCCGAGATACGGAATAATCTCGCTTCTTCTTGGTCATCAATCTTGGAAAGGTGAGTTTAATCCAGGATATAAACGAGACACGCCTTGCCCTTCGCCGTATCGATCCCGTGACATTCCTTCCTCTCCGTCTTCCTACTTTCCCTCACTCCACGTAGAGGTCCTCGATTGGACTTATTCTCACTTTCTCTCCTTTCTCCTAGACCAACTTTCTCTCCCAGAATCGTACTTCTGTTCTGCTCTCTGTGTGTGACGTAGGTCGAGAGACCTTGGTGTATGCTCACCTACACCTCCGTGTCACTCGATACTGCTGTGAAATGCATCCACCAGCCAAAAGCCACCCACAACAAAAGAAAGCGTTTTTTGCATCCAAGTACTACTTGAAAAGTCAAGGACAGCCCTTATCCTTCTTCAGACTTACCTACGACATGCATCCTCCTTGAATTTGATGACGGACGACGACGACGGTGTAGCAAGCACACCGTCGAGCGTGATGGGATCATGAAAGATTACTTTTAAGCCAACTACGCAGCAGTGTCAACACGAAGAAATGTTTACACAATCACGTCAACCATTCTGTTTTGAATAATACGTCACAAAGTGCATGTCGTGATGGGCGAGAAATTAAGGGTCAAGGTTGCTAATTTCGATTTCTTATTTGTGTTTGCTTAATGCAGAAAGTGGTTCAGTTCAGTCCACTATTGTTTATTAGTCAAGTTTTTTTTGTGTGTGAAGGTATTATTTTTGGACATGTTTTCATTCTTTTTTGGATGTCGTCCACTCTAAATTGATAAAAATAAAGGTGCATTTTTACATAAAAAAGATGTGCAGTAACTTTTTTTATGTAGATACGACGAATGGCAACAAGTAATCGATTACTATGTAGAAAGACAACAACACAACAAATGTAATGTAATGCATACGTACATAAAAACCGGTTTTGATTGTGTCTGAAAAATTGTGATTCATGAAACTTCCGTTTTCACTTTCGCTAATTATTGCATTATTATACATACTGAAAGGCTTGGTTAAAGGAAGAATTGGTAATATTTAATAATGAGTTAATACTGAAAAGTGTACTAAATGTGGTTGACTAATTATGTCCCATGCATGTAATTCAAGTTTCGTTTTTCCGCCTACATCAATTAATGATGCAAAAGTATGTCTGCAACATTTCCAACACATGTAACTTATTGGCTGTTTAAATTAAAACTTGTTTTTAAATATGATATTTTTATTTATTGTTAAGTCTAATTATTCATCTAATAGTTTAACTAGCTGAGAGAAATCAAAATGCATTAGGTAAAGAAGGGTGCACCCTTTGAAAACCTTGGCTAATTCGATTCAGACGTTTTACGTCTGTATTTCTATTTTCTAAATTCTAAATTTCGTAAAAGACTTGCTGGTTAAAACTTTCTTGTTTTTAAATTAAATATTTATTTACTGTGTGCACTTCCAAATTTCACTTTGTGCCATATGGATTCCTTGTGTGACATCATGTATTTATATTTAATAAATACAAAGTAAATTGCAGACAAATTAGTAGAATAAGTAGTCTAATGACCGTGGATAAGTTGCACAATAAAGTTTTTGTAGCAGTTTTTATCATAGATTTATACAGTGTGTATTACAGTACAGACTGTGTAGATAAATCTATGGTTTTTATACTACAACGACAAGTTTATTGGTACTTGCTCATCATCGTGATAAGGGATGATTTACAAGTATTCATTGTTCTAATCCTAAGTACAATAGGTGTTTTCTTTTTTTGTTCAGAGAAGATCATTTATGATTTTTTAAGTTTCAACAGTGAATAATTGGATAACAGTGGGAAATGAAGTAAAGTTTGACTTTATTATCAAGCTTGCAAATTTTAATCTATCCGCATTTTCAAGATTTTGAAAAGATGGAATGAATATTATTAAAGACAAAGAAAGTATCTACAGTGAAATACGTATGTAGATAGTTGTAATATAAATATATATGCATATGCATGTATACTAAACCACGCAGGAAGCTAGCATCCCAATTAATTTGCATATATGCACTGACCACTCCTAGCAATCACGAACTTGCAACTTCTTCCCCGGATTTCATACGAATTCCGTTGAGCCCATTCACAACAATTAATTTGAATGTCACGAACTATTTGACCTTAAATTTTCATCTCCATATTAAATGTGGCATGATACTTTACCATTTTTCAGTAGTTCGTGCAGCACTACTTTCGATTTTACTCCATATTTATGAGTTAATCAGTTAATTTTGAAATATGCACAAAAATGTTAACTATCCCAAAATGTACAAATATACATATGTGCCTCCTAATTTCTATCCCATCAAGAAATTTTCCCTCCACAATTCAGGCCATCCATCCCAATAATTTCTTTCCTTACATACTTTAATGCATGTTGAGAATTGTATAATGCTCATGATTTTTCTGTTCAGTTTATTTCCTTATCTAAATTTGTCTCCTTCCGAGTTTTTACATATCTTAACTATGACGCACATGCATTCGTTTAACTAATGTAATTATCTGTACTTCATGCAAGCCTCCTACCTTTGTGAATCTGACCAGTTTCTAACATTGTTTTTAGCCGTCAAATTTCTCAGTATTCTGTATTCTTCCAGTTTTCAACCCAAACTCAAGGTTTCTATTTTTGCATTTGACTGGTCATTCACTCTCAAATAAGGTTATAAATATTGGTCGACAAGTCGACCTCGCTGTCATTCTTTTACCTAAGCTGCTGTGAGTAGCGTCAATCTTTCCCATTTTTATCAAACTTGTAACAATATTTAAATTGCATAAATCCTGACTTGAAGTAACCTTAAACCATTGTGCACTCGTCTCTGCCTGATTATTCTCAACTTGCCTCAGTTTACAACTACACCATAATCTCTCATAAAAGTATTCATCTCCACCCTGTTGCCATCCATACGATTGAACATCACACTTCAAACTCTCACAAAAACCACACCCCAGTTGGGACCCAACATCCCCAACATTTTTGGTCTCTTGCGAACCGGATCTGACTCCATTTAACGTGTGTAAAGTGTTCAACGTTCTACAACAAGTGCCATGGCGCCCCCGACTGCACTGGACAAGGCCATCCACGAGAGGAAATCGGTAACTGATACAATCGACTATCTACAAATTGAATCTGATAACCATGCTACGAGGCCCTTGAATCTCCCAAGTACACTGCATTTCCTCGCCATGGCTGAGACCGCACAGAAAGAGGTTATGGCCATCCACAACAAAATCCAAGCTACTTCCCCTCCAGATATGGCCCCTCACAATGCTGAATACCAAATTCTTCTCGGTAAAGCTGCTCGTGTCGTAATAGCCTTCACTACGATCAAGATGTCCTTCCCAGGCACCTCCACCGGTCACGGATCTGGTACACACATCCCCAGTCCTGACATAAAACTTCCGCGATTAGAACTCCCCTCCTTCGACGGCACTTTACAAGATTGGGTCTCATTTCGTGACATGTTCGTCACCACCGTCCACTCCAATACTACATTATGTAAGTCCCAGAAATTGACCTACCTTAAATCCCAACTCAAAGGAGAAGCAGCACGACAACTCTCATCCATGACCATTTGTGACGCCAACTACGATATCGCATGGAGCCTACTCACAGATAGGTACCAGAATGACCGTGAATTGTTGTTCGCCATATTAAGAAGATTCACAAATCAAGCAACAGTTCCATACAACTCATCTACAGCAATTCGTCAACTAGTAGATGTATCGAAGGAATGCATCCGATCTCTCGACGTGCTCAAGCTACCGACCATTCATTGGGATGCCATTCTCCTCTTCCTCATCGTGAACAAATTGGATCCTTCATCAAAGGAACTCTGGGAACAAGGTCTCAAGGACAGTACAATCCCAACATTAAGATCCCTGTACGAGTTCTTGGAGCAGAGAGCACGAGCCTTGGCAGCCAGCGGTACCGACACCCCCTCCAAGGTAACACAGCCACCTGCGCAACACAGCAATCAAAACAGCAATAAACCAGGGAAAAGAGTAACAAGATCGCAATCTCGTCCCATGGTCCACCACGCCAACTCACCGTCTACATGCAAGATTTGTGAGAACCAATCCCACCCCTTGTACAAGTGTGAGAAATTCATGGGATGGTCCATCCAGCAGAGGTCTGATGCCATTCGCAAAATAAACGCTTGCTACAACTGCCTACGCGAAGGTCACAGGAAGCAGGACTGCACCTCCAAGTCCACCTGCAGATCTTGTGGTTACAGACACCACACCCTTCTTCACGCAAGAAAGGAGGCCAATCCGGGTACCAAGCCCGATGAAGCGGCGGAGAATCCCCCAGCCACCACTTTCTTCACATCCAGTTGTTCATCCACAGCAGCAAATGAATACGACACATTACTTGCAACTGCCTTAGTTCGAGTAGCCGACAAGCATGGAAAGCTGCATACATTCCGGGTTCTTGCTGATAATGGGAGCAACACTCACTTCGTCACCGAGTCCTGCCTCAAGAGGATCGGTGCCCCACGCAGAAGATGCTTCACATCCGCAACAGGCTTGGGTGGATCATCTCTCGCTCATTCTACCGGAATCACTCAGTTTACGGTTATGCCTCACTTCGATTCGTCAATTTCGTTCCCTGTCTCAAGATGCCTCATCACCACCAAAATCACTGGCAAACTTCCGTCATCGCCTTTCGACCACGCCAAGTGGTCACATCTTTGTGGGTTACAATTAGCAGACCCAACTTACCACGAACCTCGAGACGTGGACATGCTTTTGGGTGCAGAATTCTTCTTCAGCATCTTGGAGTGTGGGAAACAATCAGGTCCCTCCAACAGTCCCATCGCCATCAAAACAAGCTTCGGATGGCTGATTGGTGGTGGATCCGCCGAAATCCCACTCCTCGAGCCCCAAACTCATTCCACCCTCACTCTACAACAATGTGGACCAAGCTCCACCAACTCCACTCAACAAATTGCCAGTGATGATGAGCACCTCAACGCTACACTTCAGAGATTTTGGGAACTGCAGAGCGAACCAACTGAGAGATGCCACACATCAGAAGAAAAAGAAATCGAATCCCACTTCCGTTCAACATACCGTCGTGATGCAACAGGGCGTTTCACTGTACAACTTCCGTTCAAAATCCCGAGATTAAATGTTGGACACTCTTACAACATTGCACTGAAGAGATTGCTATATCTCGAGCGTCGCTTGAAGACCAACCCTGAGGCCAGAAAAGAATACGCTTCATTCATGAGAGAGTATGAAGCACTAGGTCACATGGAAGAAGTTCTGCCAGTGGAACCCAGTGACCAATCCCATACAACCCAATGCTATATCCCTCATCAGTTCGTCCGTAAAGAATCGAGCACCACCACCAAGTTTCGGGTCGTGTTCGACGCCTCCGCCAAGACCTCCAATGGTATTTCCCTCAACGATACCCTGATGGTTGGACCTACAATCCAAGATTCACTCGTGGACATCTTGTGTCGATTCCGCCTCCACAAGATAGCTTTCACCGCCGACATTGCGAAAATGTATCGGCAGATTAAGGTGACCTCCTCAGATGCAGATCTCCAGCGCATAGTTTGGCGTGAAGATGCAACCGGACCAGTCAAGCATTACCGCCTACTCACTCTGACCTACGGTACTGCCCCAGCTTCATTCTTGTCAACCCGTGTCCTCGACGAACATGCCAAATTGGAAGCTGATTCCTTCCCTCGCGCATCTCTAGTCGCACGACGAGATTTTTTTGTGGACGACTTGATGTCCGGTGAACCCTCATTAAAAGAAGCCCTCAATACTCAACAACAATTACTTGAATTGATGAAGGCTGGATCGCTACAACTTCGGAAATGGTCATCCAACTCTCAAGCAGTACTCGACTCCCTTCCCCCAGACATGCGAGAAACCCAATCACTTCTCACATTCGACTTGGACCCGACCATTAAAACTCTTGGCATCTGTTGGAACCCCAAGACGGACAAATTCCTGTTCAAGTTAGCTCCTCTCCCTGCCCCAACCAAACCATTAACCAAAAGAAATGTTCTCTCAGAACTGGCTCGTCTTTTCGATCCTGTGGGTTGACTCGCACCGATCATAATCACGGCAAAGATTGTGATGCAATCGCTTTGGAAACTTGACCAAGGCTGGGACGACGCTTTACCACAAGATTCTCAACGCCACTGGATGGAATTTAGGACCGATCTTGAAAACCTCAGCAAACTTGAAATCAACCGTTTCTACATGTGGGGCACAAGTCTGACCGCTCCAAGCCTTAATGTCACTCATCCATCATCCCCAGTCAAGTTCTGCCTCGCCGGATTTTGCGATGCATCCCAGAAGGCCTATGCAGCTGCAGTATACCTGTGCGCCTACGATGGAAATTCTGGATCCGTCTCCCTTATCGCCTCGAAGACCCGCGTCGCTCCGGTCAAGAAAATAAGCCTACCTCGACTCGAATTATGTGGAGCTGATATTCTCGCTGAATTGCTCATATCAGTTAAGACTGCCCTCCGGATCCCGATTCACTCCCTCACTGCATGGACCGACTCCACCGTCACGTTAGCGTGGATACAGGCACCGCCTTCAAGATGGAAGACCTTTGTAGCTAATCGCGTAACGAAGATTCAAGAACGAATTCCCTCTTCTCGATGGGGACATGTCCGTGGGGACGAAAATCCTGCAGATTGCGCGTCTCGTGGGATAAAATGTGATGAACTCACTCATCATCCTCTCTGGTGGACTGGGCCAACTTGGCTGAAAACAGGAACTCCCACACCCAGAAATTGCAATGCCTTTGACTCCACGACAGTCTCGATGATCAACGTGGAAGCCAAGAAGGTGGTCACATTTCATACAATTTCAACAACAAACCAACTAATATTGGATCGCTACTCTTCTCTAAACAAGTTGATTCGAGTAACTGCAATGGTCTTTCGATTCATCAAGAATTGTAGGCCAAGTCAAGCAACCAACCCCCAGAATACGAAGATTATTGTGAAACTGCCCTCATGTGGACCATTTCAATTACCGCAACCTCTGACGACGACGGAATTGACCATCGCCGAGCACTATTGGATCAGATTAATCCAACAACAAGCATTCGCACATGAGCTGAATTCTCTCCAACGAGATAAACCCCTCTCCCACAAAAGTAAGCTGCTGTCCCTTTCCCCGTTTGTAGATCAAACTGGGATCCTGCGAGTTGGTGGTCGACTCAAAAACTCGAATGTTCAAATGACTCAACGTCACCCCATCCTCCTCCCTACACACAACCGTTTTACACAAATGCTTATCAAACAAGAGCACCAGACGAATCTTCATGCTGGACCTCAACTGTTGATGTCCACTCTACAGCGTCACTACTGGATTCCTCGTGCAAAGGACGCAATCCGGCGCCAGATTAAGACCTGCGTTGTGTGCACCCGACACAAGGCCCAAACCATGCAACAAATTATGGCTGACCTTCCCTCATTTCGTGTGAACCAAGCTCGTCCTTTTTCCAAATCCGGCGTCGACTATGCAGGACCCTTTCACCTTCGCCCGATCCAACCAAGAAGCAAGACAACGATAAAGGCGTACCTAGCCGTATTTGTTTGCTGTACAACTCGAGCAATCCACCTCGAAGTAGTTAGTAGTCTATCTACCGATGCATTCATGGCTGCATTCCGTAGATTTACATCACGAAGAGGTCGACCAAGTGATCTCTACAGCGATTGCGGCACCAATTTTATTGGAGCAGACCACGAGATGAAGGACTTTCAACGTCTCATCTTATCACAACAGCATAACACTGAAGTCGCCAACCAACTATCAAACCAAGGTATCCAGTGGCACTTCAACCCCCCTGCAAGCCCCCACTTCGGAGGACTCTGGGAGAGTGGAGTCAAGTCGGTGAAATACCACTTGCGCCGAGTCGTTGGCCTACAGCGACTGACGTTCGAGGAGATGACAACAGTCACATCCCAAGTTGAAGCGATCCTCAACTCGCGTCCTCTCACTCCTGAATCATCTGACCCCGACGACCTGAATGCACTCACCCCAGGGCATTTTCTTACTGGAGGCCCACTCAACGCCATTCCAGAACCTTCCGTGGATCACCTCAACACCAATCGCCTATCGCGCTGGCAGTTACTACAGCAAATGACCCAATCATTTTGGAAGCGATGGTCAGACGAGTACTTGACCCGACTTCAGCAACGTCCAAAGTGGATGACTGGCAACCGTGCAATTGTGGTGGGCGACATGGTCCTCATAAAGGATGAAAATCTTCCACCCTTGAGATGGAAACTTGGCCGAGTCCAAACCCTGCACCCTGGCGCTGACTCCGTCGTCCGCGTCTTTACACTCAAAACTTCATCAGGAGATCTCAAACGCCCAGTAGTCAAACTTTGTCTCCTACCAATCGAAGTCTCATCGAACTCATCGAACTCCCAGGAATCATCATAATTCTTAATTTGAAATGACATTTCAACGTGGCCGGAATGTTGAGAATTGTATAATGCTCATGATTTTTCTTTTCAGTTTATTTCCTTATCTAAATTTGTCTCCTTCCGAGTTTTTACATATCTTAACTATGACGCACATGCATTCGTTTAACTAATGTAATTATCTGTACTTCATGCAAGCCTCCTACCTTTGTGAATCTGACCAGTTTCTAACATTGTTTTTAGCCGTCAAATTTCTCAGTATTCTGTATTCTTCCAGTTTTCAACCCAAACTCAAGGTTTCTATTTTTGCATTTGACTGGTCATTCACTCTCAAATAAGGTTATAAATATTGGTCGACAAGTCGACCTCGCTGTCATTCTTTTACCTAAGCTGCTGTGAGTAGCGTCAATCTTTCCCATTTTTATCAAACTTGTAACAATATTTAAATTGCATAAATCCTGACTTGAAGTAACCTTAAACCATTGTGCACTCGTCTCTGCCTGATTATTCTCAACTTGCCTCAGTTTACAACTACACCATAATCTCTCATAAAAGTATTCATCTCCACCCTGTTGCCATCCATACGATTGAACATCACACTTCAAACTCTCACAAAAACCACACCCCAGTTGGGACCCAACATCCCCAACAATGCATCATAATATCTGTAACGCTAACTAATTGGAAATTTATTGTTTACACTTTCTGCCAAACTTGACAGTAAAAGAGTCAGCAAGTAATCATAAGATGGCATTTCTAATTCGCAAGCCGAGAGATCTGAGATGAATGCATAAAATGTGGATCAAAATCAACAGATCGTTTCCTCCTTGCCTGCCATGTGTCACTCTTCATTAGCATTTACTTTCTTAATCTGTGTGAACCCTTTCTTGATGATTGATCGTTATCGCGGCAGCAGAGTCAAAAATTCATTAAAAGACACCAAGAAAGAAGTGAAGTGGATGTACAAACGTTGTGGGTTTTGTGAGCAATCTAGTTTTTGGAGAACGGAATGAGAATTATGTATCAAATGAAAAAAGTAGTCTCTAATATCCTCGCTAATGTCAAAGGGTGGATTCTAAGGCCAAAATCCAACCCCATCCCCACCTTTGCTGCTTCCGATGCTCACTCGTAAAGTCACAACCACACATTTATAATGAAATTTGGAATGAAAGTGAATCTTGGGATTGGTTAGCGAACGAAGGAAGGAAACCAGATTCAAATTGAAATGAAAGTGAAGGTTTCCCATTCATTTTGTAGGTTCTCTAATCAAGCGAGCTTTAAAAAGCACGTTCCCTTATCGTATCGCAAGAAGAACTTGGGAGCCAACTTGATCTGTCATGATTTTATGATGAAGGAATTATACATATGAAACAGATATGGAAACTGCGAGAAACAAGGCTCAAACGATCGGCGAATTTTTTTATTGAGGACAAATGATGCATGAGACATGCACGATTCTTCTACTAAATATTCATGAATGCACATGGTGTTGTTGTTGCGTTGAAGTGAAAATGAAACAGAAAATTTGCAAATTACTAGATGATCAAATCAAAGAAGAGTTTTTTTCAAGTTTTTTCTCTTTTTTGCCATCTTAGAATTATGGAATGATTTGTGAACGTCTTTATGCGTGATTGATTATCGTAGCTGCGTTGAGACGTATGATTATCACAGTAGGGAAAGATGCTTCTGGTAACTTTGGGATAATTTGACGTGTGACTGACTGACCAGGGTAGCAGATTTCGTTCACGGTATGTTATCAGTAGTTTTTTTAGGGAGTGGTCAGTTTTAAGTAACACCAGTGAAAAAATGAAAAAAAACGTGAAAAATAATTCGAGTATAACACATCGAATTTGTTAGATAAACTTTTACTAATTCGGAATTTTGTAAAAAAATCGAAATTTTTCACACAACACGAAAATTTGTTAATAATTCAGAATTTTGTTAATAACACGTCGATTTGCTTATGTATCCACAATGTTACAGAACTTAATTTTTTTGCATTTAGGAAACAATTTATTTAAATATTTCAGTTTCTAGGAATTAATCATACAAATAGATGTACAATTTCTTTGTGATGACGCACTTTAAAATTATCCAATGACTGAATCATGTCTGAAAAAATTACCTATTTAAATTTAAGATTTTCTGTCTTTTACTTTTTCATTTATTGATGACCACTTACATCCGGCAACGAAATGTACATCTATGAAACAAACGTGCATGAAAACAACGTACTTACATATGTACATGAAATATGAATTTGTAATGCGTGCCTACATTAAATTCTCAACATTCTAATGTTTGCATGTAAATACCGTGGTTTGTACCATTTAATCGTGGTTTCCAAAATTGATCATCTTTCTTGAGAGAAGTTTTTTCTCCACTTTTTTTGTAAACAATAATTTTATCGTAGAGATGAGACATTCATGGTTTATTGAACCGCAAAGCGTTTCTTTAACAAGTGCCTACTACAGCTTTGGGGCAGAGAGTCAAGTTCTAGGTCATTATTATTATTATTGCATTCACTTGCGCCGCACAACCAACCAACTAGCCACCACCTGTTTTATCTATCTACTTGGTCCTCGTGGGAAGGTAGCAATTGGTTGGGAGATGAACTTAACAACTTGCCTCAGTGTAAGTAACACCTTGAGACAAAGGAAATGAATGCATGCAAGCATCGTGGTTGCGATGCTCCCTTTATGGTCACAGCGACGCATTATTATGGTTTAACCCTTCTTCGTTTTCTATTTTTTTCACTTGTACACTTTTCTTCACGAAGCCAGTAGGAAGTTCAACATTGCGTGAATGTGGAAATAATTTTGAAACCCACAACGTAATGATATCATCGCGACCCACCATATTAAAGTGTGTGGCGTTAATGGGGGACTCTGTCCCCATTGCTTAAAAAGAGATAACTTTCACTACTTGTTCAGTATTTTGTTTTTGAGTGTCTGTGACTGATTATTGTTTTAGTAAAGTGGTGGTGAGAAATTGGGTTTAGGTACATATTTTTGTGCTTGAAAAGAGTTGAGGCTAAGGGACAGTCGTAGTTTAGAATTGTGGAAGTAGTCGTTGTTTGAATACTGAAGGAGCACCACGAGGAAAGTAAAAATATAGTGAATGGGTGTTTAATCGAAAGTTAGTAATTAACATGAAGTCCAGCATAATTGGATCGTTCTTGCTGGTAAGTAAATAAATACTACTGGAGGAGAAAGTGTTATGTAAACGGGGTCTAAAATAATGTCACTTATTTTTACTAGATTCTGTTAGTTGTCTCGTGTGCAACTGCAGAAAAAGTAGATCAGACTTCAGAAATCGAGAGTAGAATAGTCGCAGAAAATGGTGCTTCAAATGGCGACAAATTTCACAAGAAACGTAGCATCACCAACATTATGAAACTTTTACTTGGAGGAAATGTTCCACCAAATCATCCACTTGTAAAAGAAAGTGAGCCGAAAAGTTGGAATCTTGCGCCTCAAATTTTGGCCTCACTTCCCGGCAGCGGCTATGGTTTGGGGGGTGGTTGGGGTCCAACTCCGGCACAAAAACTGCAGCAGATTTTCGAAACGAAGGCAAAAATTTTACCATACACTGGTCAAGTGGCGAGCGGACTTATCGGGATTGGTGGGGTCAAGGGTGAAATCTTAAAACAAATTCATGGTTTAAGCACCTCGGTAATTGCCAATGTTGCCGCCGAAGCGGCGCAAAAAGCGGTACGGACCGCACTTGCGGCGCAAGCTGTGACGAATCAGGTTGCTCATGCGACGCCACACATTCTCAATGCTGCCGGTCAAGCTATTCATTCTGCCAAGGCGGCCAAGGGTGAACTCCTCCGACCCTTGATTCCCCATGCAAATGGGTATGCAAATTTTGGCGTTGGACTTGGTCACCATCATGATTTACATCAAGGATGGCACTCGACCCAGCAGAACTCATTCGCCCTCCCGAATTCTGGAAGTGCCGGAGATAAAACTCCGGGAGATCTACCTGGACCACCGTATTCGTCTCAATCCGTCCAAACCCAGTTGTATCAGGCACCCGCTTATCAAAATTCTTACTCCGCCGCTGCCTCGGCCGTCCCCTCCACCAGCAGTCCAGATTATGGTCAAGCTGCCATGTACAACATGCAGCAGAACGGTCAACAACAAGAATCTGCTTCAGAACCACAGCAGACACAAGATTACAACGAATTAGTGAATCAAATCACGAACGATGCCAGAAACCGTCTCAACGCTATCGACTACTCGACCCTGGCCCAGCAGCTGCAACTACAACAGCAGCAGCAGCAGAGACCCGGTCAAAACTATGGACCCCCCAAACCTCAAGGTTACAACCCTTCACCTCCTCCTCCTTCTCAAATTTATAACCCCATCAGTACTAACAATGCCAATACCACCTCTTTTCATAGTGCAGTTTCGGACGAGTCTTGGAGGAAATATTCAGGAAATGTTCAGGAAACTCCATCCATTCTTTCGAGCATCGCCCAAATCGCCGCGTCCAGCATATCCGCATACAAGTCACTCAGCACCATTGCCGACGTTTCCACCACCGCCGCAAGGAAATCCTCAACAGTCGCAGGCGACGCCACTCTATCCGGATCTGCCCCAACACCAACAGGCTTCGCAGGTCAATACCAACCAAGTCCCCATCAATTGGGGGGATTCTCAAGTCGCCCCCATTACGCCCAATCCCCCCAACCAATTCGACACTACCAAACCCAAAGTCCCCATCTCTACGCTGCAAGCTCTTCTAGCCGTGCCCAATATGTCCCCCACAATGTTGCAAAGTATTCTCCTCAAGCTCTCAGAAACACACCAAATGCCCACAGACTACATGATGCATCGGTCAAGCTCGGATCCAATTTACTACGACGACCAACAGCAACAATACAGTCCGGACACTATGACGCTGGGGTCGGATCCAGCCTTGGATCTCTTAGTCGATTCAGTCCTCAGCCAACCAGATCATATGTTGACCAAACGACACGCTCTTTTGGAGCCGGAAGAGCAATTCACACTCACGCCGGTCCGACGGCAAGAAACTTTGTTGGTGCATCCCGAACCTATCCTGGTTCCATCGCCCAAACTTCCCCTTTCACAGTTGGTGGACAGACTCAGAACCTTTTTGGTTCGGCGTCCAACTTCGCACCGACTTCCGCAGGGGGACAGCGATACGCATCACCCAGAGAGAACAGAGAACAATCAGCCTACAGTCTTAGTGGGTACAGAAGTCCTTATCTAACCAGCCATTTACACTCAGCGTCATCATCATCAACTAACCATAATTATCACCAACTTGCCCCTTCCCCCTCGGAACAATCCCTCAACTATGAGCTTCCCCCAACAACAAGTAGTCATTCACAATACAACAATATAGGACAATCCTCTCTCGGTGGTAGGAGTGTGCTTACGGCGAAAAAAGGTTCGAAAATAAGAATCTCAATTTCTACTATTAATGTCAACCCTGATCCTGACACACACAACGATTTACACAATAATAACTCCACAAATAACAAAAATCAACACCTAACACTAACCACACAAGCGACAATCCCTGCTAATAATAATAATCACAATAATGCCCACCTTACACAGACATTTCCACACCACACTCACTATAACACTCTAAACCAAGCTAACAACTCCACCGACAACACACTCCAACCACACCAACTTTCCCTCACCGTTTCTGACACGAATGGTCAAACCCCCATAAGTCTCGAGCAGTATGAGGACATTCTGGTCGCAAAGACGCCAGAATTTATCCCATCTTATGATTACGATTCCTCTAGGTGGATTAATACCCACACCCACCGACAGATCGGACCCCAACAGCCCAGTAAGTTTCACTCTTTTGATTCCAGTCAACGGCCCAGCCACCGTGACGAGAGACGACTCCCGACCCCAGTTCCAGTCCCGAATTTCCGAACGGTTTCCCAGCAGCAAAGAGAGAAGCGTGGAGGACATCAGCCTGACCAACGAGGAGGTGGAGGATTCTTCCGAGAAGCTCCCACGCCTCCATCTTCATCAGACGGCTACTTTCCCCAAGGGGGGTTCAGTTTCAGCAGCATCTTCCCGCTCTTCCAGCGAAGTGGTTTCGCCTCCTCAAAATCGTATCAGCAGTGGAGAAAGCACGAACCGCAGTTTCAAGCCCCAATCGCCTACTTACCCGGAACAGGACCCCGAATTTACTCCACCATCCCGAGACAACTACTTTATGTCGGACCGGATGGACCAGCAAGAACCCAGCAGCCAGGAGGATACGTCACAGGAACACCAAATTTACGATCTGTACCAACACCACCCAGTCATGCCGATGGAGCAGCCGGAAGCAAATCATCAGAGTCGGGAGAAAATCAGCAAAGAAGAAGTGGAACTGAAACGGGAAGCAATCTTCAAAATTCCAGACCGCAGAGTGCCACCAGCAACAAAAGCAGTCAAAGAAATGACGGAGAGAAGCAGCAAATCACAGAAAGAGCTTCAGGACGAAGAACGGAAAAAATCACTGTCAGAGCTTATCCAACAGTTGATAAAGCTGCTAAAGTAGACAAGACTAAAATGATACCCCGCAAAACTAGTAGTACAAATAACGACGTGGCTACCTCCGCAAAAGCCATGATTAGAAACGCCATCCTCCCCGCAATTACTACTATGTTTGGTGCTGCGTTTACTTAAAGTAGCATTTTTCATAAAATAAGTATGAAATTTTCAGAATTTTTATTTATTTGCTCTTTCTCACTACCGGATTTACTCGCAGTATTTAATCAAATATGATCACGATACATGTACTTTAAAATATCCAATTCAAAGCTATTTAAATGTGATTCAAGGCAGCTCTCGAGGACGTGATTTGATACAAAAATGATCAAATGAAAGTATGTAAATGTTCAAACTTATTAAACGTTAAGCAAATGATGCCAGCGATTTTTTTTCGAATGTCAACGAATAGAGGAAATAGCAAACAAAGTCATTTCTAATAACAGCACTCACTCAGCAAGGACATTCGACATCCACGTGAAGAAGTCGTTGCCAGTTTCTTCTACAGAAATCTGTATTAGGTAAGCAAGTAGTGGTGTTGTTAAAAACCTGATTTTTTACCATCATCAGGCCAATTTTACTTTCGTAAAAATAAAATCGAAAGTGAAATACATAAACTCGAAACTAACTGGTTTTTGTCGCCATAAAACGTGGACAGAACTCGTTACTTGTGGATTGGATGCAAGTTGTTGTTGTCTGTGCCTAACTTTCTCTTTCTTTCGAAGATGATCAGAAACCTGAGTGTGCACCAAAATACTCAAAGTGCTTAAATAGTGCTCTACCGATTATTTATAAATGGTGCAATTATTAAGTTCCACTTCCAACGTGGTTGGTCTGACTGTTGCCTGCAAATTAATTAAACGATTTCCACGTATGCATTGTGAATGACTATTATTGTTACGCTTTTATATGTATGTAAAACTAGGGAAGAAGCAATTTCAGTCGTGTTGTTATTAATTCGCGTAAATAAATATTTAATTTAAGCCAGGAACGATATCGATGCCAAAAATATGATACATTCGCTGTATTATATTTAATATTAATATGTAAATTAAAGTATGCTCGGATTATGCAAGAAATAAATTATGTAACCATTACACACAATTTCCCGCTAGTCATTTATTTTCGTACTACATAATTTCCACGCTATTATTTCTTTTTTAATTAACATTTTACTCTGATTGTTTTCTTTTGCACGGTGTGCGCATCTTCATTTTTATGCCGCTACATAGTTTAATTATCAGTTAAGTACATACATTTAGATAATATTTCTCTATTTTTGGTAGACTAGAACAGCATTCGGCTGTTGTATATTTTTATTTACAATAATCATAATTTTTAGAAATCCAATTACAAACATAACTTACGCATAAAATATTCTTTTAAATTTTGATATTTCTGTTCTGAATATTCATTTATTATGTGGAGTTAAGTACTTTTCTTACTACGTGTGAGGGTTTTGAGGGGATAATTCTCTTGGATAATAATACTTTTTCATATGTATGTATCTACATTGACTAATTATTTATACTACTCTTATACAATTCCTCCCACCCAGATTGATAAAATCGTACATATCTTGTTTGTTGGGAGTGTTGCTTGTATAATAATTTGTTCTTCTTTCTCTGGCTAAAAAATCCTAGATAATAATGATAAACTACTTTTGTTCTTCAGGTTCTATTAGGTCTCCGTATATGCACCGATAATAATCAGGTCTGCCTTCATTTTGGATTCCATACACATTTCATTAATTCCACGCTTTTCATATTGAGATCAGTACGACTAGTAAATATTAAAGAATGAGAACGAGTCTCTTCTTCTTAATGGATTTATATATACTTTTGCATGAATCTTTTTACTTTGTTGCCACCATTTTGTTCAGCTAAATGCTATCATTTTGACTAAAATGCTATGTTGTGTTGGTTCATCGGTATTTCATAAACCACAGGCAGGCAAATATAATCTGTGTATCGAGCAAGAAAATCGGACCAAAATATTTCGAATACTTTTTGTAGGACCAGAGCACATGATACATGTTACCAAAGCCTCGTACATACACAACTGTACACCAATGGGCAACTTGGACTATGATAAGTAAAACAAGGGACGCATAATATTTAAATCTCCATTTTTTTTAAACTGCATAAATCCTATAAAATGAAGGGACTGTATAGCAGGAAAATATAAGGTTTTGGTCTCTACGTGGTAAAAATACAGGTACAATTCAGATCAGAAATATTTAATAAGTACGTGAAATAAATTCATACAACAAAATAGTGTTGTAAAGGTCCAGCCTTTTAAGAGCGACATCTGCAATGATTAGTAAGATCACAATCCAGCTTCCGTGTAGTCTATGATAATAATACGGCAATGAATTTATATACATTTAAAGTCAAAAAATTGCAGAAAATGATACACACAAACAGATTAGTTGCAGAAGCAAATATACATATACGCATATGTAAATATATAAGCTGAATAAAAAATATTATTTACAACCTTCTTGTCCCGAAGCCCTGCATGGCAAAGACTACTTGACACAACAGACTTGTATATTTTCCTCTAAATTAGCTACCTAATTCTTCACATATATAATCCTATTTAAGTAATTTATGTACATAATTTTGACTACGATATCATCATTTCTTTTCGTGTAAAACGTTATATTGCTACTAATACACTAAAAATCCCATCTCAACCCACGGAGGAGACTACATCTTTGGTTTAATGTTACTACGGCTAAAAGTGAGACTAGTACATATATTGTTAGGATTATGCTATTATTATTTATAGATATGTATGTACAGCTATTGAACAACTCTGCTACCTTGTGGAATGTATGTATGTTGATTAGATATTCTTATGGATGCGATTAATTGCAATATCATTTAGTTATATATGTACAAGACTAGTTATTTATGATAACACAGACAATTCATTGGATGTATTCGATGACTCCATAATAAGAATGATATGTATTTATGATGATATGTACTTGTTTATAAAGCAGTGGTGGCGATGATGATGATATGATTTGTTTCTCTCTAGTTGAGAAAAGTTTGGCAAAGTGTTTAACATGCCAAATATTTCTTGTTATGTAATTTTGCTTATTATGGAAGGTCAAGTTTTCTTTTGTAAAACTTCTCGTTTCAAAGATTTATGTACAAGATTTTTATCAGAGCAAGAAGCATGAGGATATGTATGCATAATGTGTAATCGAGTTCAGTTAAAGGTCCAGCCATATGAATGATATGTATGTATTTGAATAATTGCATGCTGAAGAACGCAATGCAGAACCTCTTTTTATGAGCAATTAGCCAGCACGCAGCACGTCAAGGTGAAAACACCACTTGGCTCGCGAATTCGCGATGAGGGGAAAGTGTGCAAAATCGGAAATATGTATGTACATAAATATGTATTTGCAGAAATTCGTAGAGTATAAATAAGTACTAGATGACGTGGCAAACAAACAAGAACAAAGTAGGATTGACTGATAAATGGGTAGTTTTACCCGAATGAAAATTGTGCCAAAACCCAAATATTTTCGCAATTTCCACTTTCACCACTTTATTCTGTTTGCTTTTGATGAAAATCTACCCATTTAATAGGTTTCATTTCATTGACGTCAGCCAATATTTCGCTATTTTCTTGCCGACTGACTGCATTGATTGGCACCCGCACAAACAAAACAACAAAACCACCATCATCACCACCACCTTCGTTTCGTGGTTGTAAGCAATTGGGTGGAAAAAGCAGGAGAGCGGAACTCGCATGAATACGTATAAGTACCACCAGAAAAGAGGAAAGGAAAGGTAGACCCAGTCCGAGAATGGTGAAAGTCACAAGACAGAATATTAGCCTGGAGGAGGAAAGTTATGGATTTGGGACGGACCCAAGTGAATTCCTGCCATAATAATTCCTCAGAAACCTTCCAACTTATTATGCAAGTACTTAAAAGATGATCTCTTATTATGCAAGGAATGGTTGGACGGCGGCTGGTGATTATAAAACCATAAAGTAATCAGAACAAGAGAATTTATAATGGAGTGAAAATCCAGTCTGTCCAAATTATTATGCAACAAAACCTTGAATCTCTCGTGAATTTAGCAAATTTCCTGGAAAAGTCTGAAAGTCTACGATCGGATTGTTCTTAATAAGAAAGTCGGGCATACACGTTACTAATTTATTTATGACTTCCGTCGAGCCAAAAAAAGGTCCAGGTGAAATATGGTGGTGGTGGTGGTGGTGGTGAAGGTAGACGAAGGATAATGAAATATTGATCAGTTCCTACATATATGCTGGATAAAATGGAATACGTCCAGAAATAAAAGCCGGGGGACGAGCCAAGTCTGCGTCAGTACCAATTAACACGTAATTATGAGTGACATTTTGGTTATTCTAGTAGCAGCATGAGTAGTAGTATAGCCTTATCTTCTATGCTGGCAACAACCTAATTATTTATAACTTGGTTTGATATTGCTTTACATTTTTGACCGGGGTCCGTTTATCACCCTCGTCTTCGCTGTCGGGTAGACTGACTTGGGGCCGATTTTGACCGCTTCTTCCGGGACCGCCACCCCCACCACCACTTCTTCCCCCAGAAGGGCCGCCAGGTCTCGATTTCCCGCCCGGGTTGTTAGGCCGCCTGGCGTTGTTGGTATCCTCGTCGGAATCGGATAATGCAGCGGCTGGGTTGACACGACCGTTCATTTCTTCCATTGCACAGTATTTCTGAACCATTGCGGCAGTCATGACGGTCATTTCGCCTTCATTCGGCTCGTCCACCTAGAGAGAAGAGAAACATGGTTTGGTCAAGTTTAGAAATTCGTTTAGTATTCAAATTAGTTAAGAGCTTATTACCGTCATTTTGTCCTCCGGGATGTTGACGACACAGCGAAAGTAGTCATATTTTGGGGGCAGAGTCCCGGAATGGAAAAGCCAGTCCGTCAGTTTGGACACGCCGGCCAAGGTGAAAAGTGAGAGAAGCATGCAAAATGTGCTGCGGGAGGGAAAGGTTAATATATGTAAATTAGTATGTAAACTTATTCTTAGGTACATATGAAATAAAATGTATATACCGAAAGGGAAAGCGCTGAACTTCCCAAGCACCCGTCTCCGCATTTGCAGGCTCGTAGTATGGAAAGTGGATTAGTGCCGGCAAATGGAGCAATTCTTCACCTCCACCAAGTCTGAAGACGAACGCAATGATGTAAGCGGCCAAGCTGCCGTACGTGTTGCAATAGTGACGAAAGTGGACCACTAAAATCGGGTTGAGTTAAAAAAAGTTGTTACTTGGGCTTTGTAACTTTTTTTAGCACGATATGAAACACGAGGATTCTTACCCATCAAGAGTTGCGGAAACAGAATTACGTATACCAGATCTGAGCACATGGTCCTGAAACAGGGGAAAATTTTTATTATTAATAGTTTTGCTTAAATTATGCAACTAATTACAATTATTTAAAGAATGTATACACTAAATTACTTACCATAGTCCATAAATGCTGGGAATCGTAAGAGCCATGATTGTCGCCATTGTTCCCACGATGAATATGGACACTGAAATAATGCAGGACAAATATTCATGTCTGTAGGTGCCTTTGTAATCCAAATTGTAAAGAAAGACTTACCACGCATCACCCAAATAATCTCGATTTCGGATGCCTGTAAAAAGCATATACAAAAAGAACATGGATAAGAGAACAATACAAGACCAGCAAAAGCAGCAGCAGCCACACAATAAAAATCCCTACTTGTGGGTAATCACTATTTTGTGCGAGAGTGATGTAATGCCCAATCAAGGTGTTAGCAGACAGGATACAAGCTTCGAATCTCTCATTCACTTTCTCTCCCCCACTTCCACCACCACCACCCTTGCGGATTACGCTAGATCACAATGACACAATGGTTTGGTGGTGAATGGGAATGATGCTACATGAGCATAATGGAGACGAGAAGTGGGGGCATTTACAAGGATTCTTTCATTAGTTTCATGAAGCAGTCACGGGTAGTTTGCTCAACTCAGGTTACTACATCCAGTGAATTAAAGCAAATGATTGTGCAGAGACAAATAGAAAGAGAAGGAAAGGACATTATTTGACCAGAAAAGGATATAATGAAATTGCTTCATCAATACGAGGCTCCAGTGGCCGCGGAATATGTGGGGACAGCAACATTGTGGGATAGGGGGTGGGAAGGGTTTATATAACATGGGCAGATGGTGAGGACATCGAATAACCGTGGGGACAGAAGAACAATGTCCTCACCCTTCCGCGGCCATTGCAAGGCTCCCCTTCGTACTTTGTGCAATCTAATCTAAAAATTTTGTCGATCATTCCTTCAGAGAATAGTACGGCTTATCGTTAGGCGGTCACTTACTGGCGACAATTTGCTCTCCTTCTCTCTCTCTTTACAACAATGACATGAAACATGATTAGAACGATCACTCACCCGGAGTCGGAATATAAGGCGATAGATATTTCTGGCGAACATGGACGATGCAGAGAGCACGCTGGAGTCGGCAGACGACATTACGGCCGCGGAAACCGCACCGAGTCCAAAGAATGAAACGACATCCGGGGTCAAATGGTGCATCACGAGGGGCAGAACCATGTTGGATTCACCTCTCGCAGCAGGTGAGGATCCGTCATACATTTCACCGTAGTGAGTTTGATTCCAATCTAGAAGAGATTTACAATGACATAAAATTAAACGGTGTCACTGCATGGGTTTTCATTGTGTAGATTCGTTTAAGAGATATCGTTTCAGCGAGCCATAAAGGGAACAATGTTAAACACACGTTTAGTTTTATGGGCACAACTTTTTTTTTACCAAGATAATGGAATTTTTTGACGTAAAGTGCATATATTTTTAGTAATATGACCCTGGAGAGTAGGACTGAAAAGACTGACTACAAATGACGTAGAATATCAAAAATAAAATTTCCAGATAAAAGCAACATTATGGGACAAACTTTGAATCCATGAATGTTTTAGAATCCTATATCACTCCTTTTAAGGGACATGAATTCGGGAAAAAGGCATGAGGCAAAATGAGATAAACTTTCTCCAGAGTCAGACACCAATAAAATATTTGCCTAAAGATTTCTTTACCCGGACTTGCGCTTTCGGATCTAAGTATGAATAAAACAGTCGAATAAATTCTAACATTACCTGTGACCTTTGCAATCGCTCCGATGATAACAGGTGGGAGCGCCATGAGAAAGCATCCAACGGCAGCGACATAGGATAATATTTGCGCCCCGAGAGCAGTTTTACTTGACAAGACCCGTTGAAAGTAAACCTAAAAAACAATTGGATTACATTAAATCTCTCGTGGCAGTGAAAAGGTGTGCAAATACGGGAATGCAAACATTTTGAGGAAATCTTGTTTAGACAAGATTTCACCTGGGACATGTAATAACGTGCGGTTTGGTTTGCGAGAATGGGTAGAAAATGTCACAGGAAAAGAGAGAAAGCATGTATTTCGATTCTTACCTGCCAAGGTATCCCTCCGAAGATGAGAAGCAGCGCATAATCAGCCCACATCCCATACTCTTCCGTTTTTAGATGTCCAACCCAATCAATTTCAGGATTTGTGAGAGCTTCTGTCAACGAACCTACGGCTTCATGTGTCAGTGCGAATGGGATACAGAGCCACTACGGAGAAGAGGAGGAGAAGACAGTTAATCATCGTGTCAGCGATGGAATAGCAGAAATTATTAATGGATCGATTTGATTATGTACCAGGCCTATAAAGATGCAAAAGAGTTGGATAACATCGGTGTACGCGACACTGTACAAGCCTCCAAAGAGCGTGTAGAAGACGGCAATACACGCGGATAGTATGACTGAGGTGTTCTTATCCATGTCAATGATGACGGAAAGGGTGGCACCAAGTGCGGCTAAAATTCGAAAAACAGAGTTTCGGAAAATCTGTCCAGAAATTGAAAATCTGAAAATTTACCCAAAATTCCTGCCGCCCAAAACACCTCGCCACAAAGTGCCGGGAGGAAGAGGAGGCCTCCCATCCGTTCTCCAAACTATAATAAAATAAGTCACATTTTTCGCAAATTAAATATTTGCAATATTTGTAAATTCATCCTTCCCAAGTTTTTAGCATATCCTCTACTCACCGCATCTTGCAGTGGATCCAGCATAGTAACGTAACCTTGTCGTCTCATTTCGTTGGCGAAAAATATTCCACCTGAGACAATCAAATCAAAATAAGTTTCTGAAAAATAATACGCACAAATATTCACCCAACTCACCCATTACGAGAGACAATGAATATCCAAATGGCGCTTGACACCAGACCAGGCCCGTCGTATAGATCGCCTCAGCCGTTCCATTAATATAACCACCTCCCACCCAGGTAGCCGTCATGGTAAAGATGCCGACAAACATGCCAATATTTCTTCCAGCCAACATGACCTCGTCCTCAGACTGTGCTCCGGATCCCTTCCTCCCGGCCCAGATGCCCACGGCGAGGATCATGATGTAGAAGAGGACGATGGAAATCACGCCCCACACGTTCAGCATTTTGATGATGATTTAATGAGGAAATTTACAGAATAATTTTTATAGATGGTGGTGAAGAAGGGGTGAATTTGATAATGAATGAGGGTGTAAGAAGAAGTTGTGGTGATAAGTTTCTGCAAAATTTTAAAATTATGTATGCGATTAACATCAAGTTTAAAAATAGACATTGTACTAATTTTTGCAAATAGGTTGAATTTTCACCATAAATTGGCACATACATACTTCTATCATTACTCGGATTTGCCCACTACACGTGGCATGCATAACTAAACTACAATTGTCAACTATTTACCTAAAAGTTTTGCAAAAACCGATAAAAAAGTTACATACATTTGACGCACAAGTTTTAGGTCCGCATAATCAATGGCCAAACCCTGCGTGCAAGTGTATGTAGCTCCATTTATGTATTTTATTTGCAACAAAGTTGACGAAACGAAGGAATAATAAAGCTCAACTTCCCACACGCTCAAATAAAACGGCATTCATGGAACAAAAATGGAGCACGGAATTCGGTAAGTAACTGAAGATCCGGGAAAGTAGGGGCTGCCTGCCTTTCTCCCGACACGACACACATTTCCTTATGTAGCTAACCTTCAATGCATTGCATTCGACTGACTCTCCACTTTCACGTCACGTTATTTCGCAACCAACCATGTTTCAAATACATGTGCAAAATTAGATGGAATTGTGTTCCAATAACTGGTTGCAAAAATATTGATGCAATCAAATTCATTCTGGGTAACCTATATTTCCATGCTTTGTTATTATGAAATAAATATTTTTTTCAGATTCAGATTCAGATTAGTTTTTAGTTAGTCACTTCCAAAACTCGGCAGGAAATACGTGGGCTAAAAACAACTTTACGCTTTATGAGGGTAATAATTGACCTTTCACTTGAATAGGAGGGAACAGTCCCATAGTGCCCGTTTTCTTCTACCCACCACGTCCGCTGAGACGATGATAGATTATTATTATTCATGAATTTTTTATTGCATTTCAGAAAACAGGGGAGCTTTGAAAGGTGTATAAATGAGTATGAAAATACATACACATATATTTTTGTAATTATAAAAAATGACGTGTGACACCTGTCTCACGTGGATGAATTCAACCATTCATTTATTGGTGAAAAAAAACTTGTCGAATTTAAAATTTAAATTATAACGGATTCACGGACAGCCGGGTGGATGAACATCATCAAAGGCGTCGGTCTGCCCTGTAATTGTCTCGCATTTGGAAATGAATTGTGCGTGATGTCGAATGCCGAGGGAGAAATTAATAACTTATCTAAATTAGCTGTTGATTGGTGCATGAACTACATGTGTAGCAAATATGTAAGTTTAACCCGTTCTTAATTCTCATCACACTTAAAATATACATGCATCCATAATAATCCAATTTCTAAAAAAAACTGCAACGTGCTTACCGCGTGTCGTGAGAGTGAGTGATCAATACTATGGACCAGTAGAAGTAGCAGAAGTTGTTTAGTATAGCGAAGAAGTTTATAACTTGGATTAGTTCATTTTTTACAACTTTTTACAAGATTTACAGTTTTACAATCCACGGAAGACTCACGACTGAAGTGTATTTGATATAGCACCAGGAAAGAAGAATTTTGAAGTTTATGAGATGATTAGCAAATCCGATGAGTTGAGATGAGACGGGAAGATCATGGAAATTTCTCCGTTGAAGAAATAAATATATCTCTCTTTATGTTTTATATATAAATTAATTTGTCCGTAAATGTACGCATATTTTGTTGTACACGTCAGCAGGAACCTATGATTTTGGCTACATATTTATTTCTCCCCAAAAAAGTATGAATTTATGTTAGGACAAGCCTTAATTTCTTTTCTCCTTGGGATAAGTTTTATTTTTTTGGAGGGTGGAGATTTCAGGGAAGATTTAGATTTTTTGGGAGAAAGTCGTTTAAAAATATTGATTTGGGTTTTTTTCTTTATATAATTTATTAATATCAATTAAATATTCCTGCCCGATTTGTACGAGTATATAGTTTAAATGATTTGGTTAATTTTTTACGTGCCTGGATTCCGTACACACTCAAATTTATACGTTGTTTGGCCGTTGCTTGTTTAGATTGCTGATTGATATCGATTGATTATTTGGGGTTGGATTATTTATTATTGGAAATTTTATAATCACTATAATTTTGTGGCTACTTTCGTATAGTTATTTTTAAAGAATAATAAAAGAGAGAGAAAAGAGAGAGGGGAAGTTGTAACAAAAATACGTATATATTTTCAATACAATTTGATACCTTTGCAATAACTAGAGTTTCATGGACTTGGATTTCAGGGCGAAATCAAAAGTGCTTTTAATATAGATTTTATTTGTAAGGATTTCTACCTGGTAAAATTCTAATTACAATTTGAAAACTTAAACGAAAAGTTGAGGGCAGTAGTCGCCCCAACGCAAACTGGTCTTCTGCGAAGGTGTATTTCGTGTTTTAAATTTCAGCCCGAACATCTACGATACTTTTTCATGTGGAATTCCTTTACACTCACACATTTGAGCTAATTTCACACAACGGCACCACCCTGATCACACTTTTTATATGGATTTAAATTCGCTAATTATATATGTATTTATTTATTTATTTCCCTAATTGTCTCACTTTTGTAATAAATGAGACAAAAAAGTTTTCAGGATGCATCGTCATTTTCTTTACACGTTGCCAGCAACGAATTTAAAATTATTATTTCGGTAAAAGGTACAGGTGATTACAGAGGTCCATGGATGATAAATATTGCACAAACTCTGGTAAAATATTTGCTTAATAAATTATCTATGTATTATCACACGAGCTATGAGGACGAAGCGACTAAATACAATTTCGACTTATTAACAGGTTGATATGTATCTTGCAGATAATGTAATTCTTCTTGTTGTGAATTGTTCCATACGATTCTGGGAGATAGATAATAGCGAATATCAAGCGGTCTAATGCTTCCAAGGTTTCATGTAAGTCACGGAGATTGAACGTGTTCCAACGCAAACCTTGCCTGTCTGAGAGTCAAGTAAGTCTCTCTTTCTCCCGGATGATGGTCTCTGAATTGGTCGTGAATCCAATGCAGCCTGAGCTACTGCTGGCTGGCTACATTCACCAAATTCCGTGCTGTTCACGAGGAGAGGGAGAAAGTGGTGGTGGTCTGGTGTGCCCCGGTAGAAGGACAAATATCGATCGTTGTCCTCCTTTTCTGCCGCTCCTTTCCCCAACCAAACCAAAACCGTGTAGGGTTGCATTACATAGCTGGCAATGGAAGAAATAGATGCATGATTGCATGCACAGTGCTGAAATGGACAAGGATAGCAGGACGTAACGTAGGTATGAAGGAGGGCGGAGGTAGAGAGGCAATCATCTAAAAAAAGTGAAAGACAAAGTAAAAATACGGAGAAAGTTGGGGGAATTGCGTCGCTGTTTTACTTTACACACAAATTCCATCAAGTTGAATTAAGCAGGGAATAGATTAAAAGGCAGAGGAGTTAATACTTTTCATTCAGAAGGAATCTCCCAGGTTTTTGAGTTGAAAGGTGAGAAGACACAAAGGAAAATAGGTGGGTGTTGGAATGTAGGAGGTACATGTGTATGTAGGATATGAAGCATGAAAAGTGCATGAATGTAACACTTTATACTTTTCACGGCAAGGATCCAATAATAAAATCCCATGATTTTTAACGCCACGCCGTATGTACATGGTTAACTGCTTTTAAAGGAGATAGAACTAGACATGTAAACACGTGAAGTGAAAATTGCCCGAAACTTATGTCTTTAACCCTGAAATCACATTACGCTATATTTCAAAATGCTTTATAAAACATTTACAGGTGGGCATCATCATCAATCTAATTGAGTTACTCTAGTAAATTGCATGCCCTCTATTTATTTTTACTCGGAAAAAGTGTTTAACTAAAAAGAGAAAGTATTTATCTCAAATAGAAGGGAACCAATCTAACGTCTGATGAAAAAATTGTGGTGAATTTCCTGCCAGGCATTTAACCTAACTGGTTCCTCTCCTCATAATAATGTTAATCATCCATCCAGCTATTTTCAGTAATAGAGAGGTGCTTCCGATGGTGGAGAAAGTAGAAAAAGATCCACAATGTCTGTCTTCCTCCCTTCAATTTATCGAAGGCTCGAGGGACCCTATGCTCCTGGCCACGTTCCAAGTCGAAGAAAATTGGGATTCCAGCAGTGGTGGGAGAGATCTACTCTTAACTTTCTCCTTCCACCACCACGAACGGTGAGAAAGAGCGAGAGGAGATATCCGTGTGATGACTTTGTGAGGACATGCGTCATCCTAGAGGCAGAGGCGGAGAAAGTCCTCCATTGGTTGTTCCACAGCGAGGCGTAGGTGGCCTATTAATGTATTCACTCGTTCTCTCTCTTGCAGGAGAGAAAAAGGTCAAATCTATCCCGTCCGGGCCGTTGTTTCAGTCTCATCCATCTCCATCTCGGGCGATGCATACGTATGTACATGCATCTGATGTGCTCTTACTTTCTCTCTCAGGCACTACTGGTTCCTTGCCTGCTTCGACTTGTGCCATATCCATTAAATCATTCTCCTAAACTATCCTTCCGCTACGGCCACAAGTCTACGTCGCAAGAGACCTATAACCAGATATTGTATGAGATAACGACAATAAGACAAATTACAAAAAGTTCCCTGTGTCACACAGCCATTTAACGGCGTGTGCAGGACGGGGAGCTGGAGCTGTGCCTCGTTACGAGCTAAATGCCAGGAACTGATTCACTTGCCAAAAAGGGATGGAGAATCTCAGAGTTGTGACGGATGAGAAAAATTAATCACATTTTTCTTGAGGGGAAAAACAGCAAGGAGAATGATTTGGGGTAGATATGTACATTCATGTGAACGATTTATTGAGGATATCTCTCCGAAAAAGCGCATTTCACACAATTAAATTACCCTCGATTTCGGCATGACAAAATTTTAAATTATGTTCGTGACATATGTAACGACTACATACTGTACTTCACTTTTTGGCAATTTCTCTGGTGTTTGAGCTCCGGTGGTTGAGTGAGGTAGATAAGGATGCAGTTAGGTTAACTCATATTTCTGCCCGGTTTCGCCACGAGGCTCGGCTGAACAAAGGATGGATGAGTGGTGGTAGACACGCTAAAGTGCCCCTGAGGAATATACAAGAGTTCAATTCGTTTTCAGCTGAATGATGATGATAGTTGGTTGAATACATACTTGTGATTTGGCTCTTCTCGGTACTTGTGAGTGGTTTGGTAGGTTAGCTATTTTAGAACCATGTAACACAATAGAGTGTTTTTTATGGTATTGAATTACATAAAATTTAGAAACGTCTATATCTGTAAATTCCTCTTGCGTGTTGTGTCAAACGTATGAATGATTTCACTAATAAAAAATTACGAAAGCATTTTACACAACTTTTAGTTTGAATGGAATCCAATTTTTTATTACTTTTATGTATCTCCGGAACGGAAGCATTGTGCAACTGACATTTAACAGGCTGAAGAGAAGTTACTCGAAAAAGGAGATAAAACCAACAGTCAACACCCAACCAGAGAAAAATCAGGGAAGAACTTTCTAGGGAGAAAGGTGTTATAAAGGAAAGTAGGTCATCGAGACAATTTGGAGGCTCAGCAGCACTCGGAAGATTCCTGGCCTACTTTTCATCTTGGATAGATTGGGATTATTATTATGAGAGGAGGCTACAGCCCGGCAGCGTCGGATGAGAGGGACTGACTGATAATAATGTTTTTACATTGTTAAAAGTCGAACCACTCAAGCATAAGAGAGCTTCTATTCAATAAAAATGATGTAGTTGAAAAATATTGCGTAAATAAAAACGTAGTGTGAAAGCATATTGGATAAAGTTTGCGGCAGGGTTTGGGTGAAAGCTGGGTGAAAGCACAAACTGCTATGAAAAAATATGCGCAAAAAAATAAATAAAGTAAAAATATAACTATCTCTGTATGAAAATTTCAACTGCTTTCATACAGATATTTGGACGATTATTCTGCAGAAAAATTGTATACAGAGCGATATGCACAAAAACTATGCAATGAATTATGAATTATGCGTAATTATCTACGGACGGTTATGTAGAATTAACCCGGAAGAATTTTTTTGCAGAATCATGCAATTTTTGCTGCAGATATGATTTTGAAGGCCACTTATGCAGAATTCTGCAAAATACTACACACGATTTTCATACGGGTCGCTTAGCTCGATAGATGTGAATTAATTACATAATTTGGTCGTTAAAGGACCGCCAGACCATTGATAAGATATGTTACTTCCGGTCATTCTAATGTCACATGGAAATTAATTAATGTTTTATGATAAATTAAACTAGCTAATTGTGGTTCTGCTTTTCCTAGTTGTGGTCATTCACTAATACAATTTTTCACACCAACTCAGGTGGCTTTTTAGTCTCGAATTAGTTTCAAAGCATTTTACTCCGTGCTTAGAAGCTGAATATTTGAGACAGTTTCGTAATTTGAAATTACTACGTATACACAATGAGAAACTTTGCAAGGTTTTCACTTACTGCTGCAATTTATTTGCTATTTATTTACACTTTATGGGCTCCTACAACTCTCGCTCAGGAAGAATTGGACGAGGATGACGCTTATTATCAAGAAGGTATTTATGTATAATATACATAGTTCTTCCTTAATTACAAATAAAACAAAAATACTTAATTCATGCATTTCCTGTTATAGAAAACAGAAATCTGCGGTCGTATTACGTTTAGCGTCAATCATTTGGAATGGACGTCAGTCAGAAATTTAAAAAATTGTATGCACAATTTTCTATCCCAATTTTAAACCCAAAATAAAATTATAACTTGAATTGGTTACAAAAATAAACTTTTACTTGCGTCATTTACATAAACACTACGTAAAACTGCATAACACAAACCTACCTCCTTTTCCTGGATGTGGTATGGCAATCTTATCACGCCTTCCTTGATTTAGTAATGCGTATATAATAAATTATAGTATTTTCTAATGTTGTGCATGCATATATAAACCAAATTGTGCCGCTAATAGTCAACACATTATCTAATAAATGGTGCAACTGAATTAAACTAAAAGTATTTGTTCCATAATTTATGCAATACATATTCCCAAAATTTTCAAAACAGTTCATTTAAAAAAAGATCTCCCCTAAACAAGATGCGTGCCACTCTTGCCATTACTTTGATCTGCATGACTCTAGCCTTATTGTTCCTGGAACAATCACAAGGACAAAAGACTGATTTCGATGGGGAGTATTTTGATCCCATCGAGGGTAAGACAACTAAATACTTATTTATGGACGACCTTATTAACTAAGCGGAATAAGAAGAAATAATATTAAAAAATGTGTCAATTTCCAGAACCAATTCGCAGAGCTCGGTCATACATTTACGGTCAAGGGGAATATCTGGACGGAGAAGAGACCGCTGCCCGGGCTGAGCGACAGTACGGCAATTATCTGAATCCCGACGAGAAATAAAGAGGGGAAGGAATACATACATACTTTTTACGTCTATATGAATACATAATATGCATAAAAGAATAGAATTCCTATTGCGGTTAATGCAATTTTGAATTGTACACACACATGCAGAACTTACTCCTAAATAAACAATAACTTGATCAAGCGTTGCGAAAATTCATATATGAAATCAACCACGAACGGGGCCAAGGCTTTTAATTTTAATAAGGTTTTCATGTCTCCCTCTTCATTTGAAGCGACGATTTGTATACAGCATGCAGTTGCAGGTTGACATTCTCAAGAAGAAATTTCCCTCAAGGTGCATAGTGCAAAATAATTTGACATAATTAGCTTTCTAACAGCCTTGCAGAGCGAAAAGGAGGTACACACACGGTCCAAACTATTATGAAACACAAAAATTAAGCTCTTTTGTAATACATAATATTCTAACTAACTTAATTAGGACGAAGGTTCTTTGAATTAACGAAATGCACTATGTATATTTAACTAGTGTCCATAACTAGACAGAAATTCAGACAAAACCCGTCAGTCTGGGGTGCATTAGCGTTTGTTTGTTCCATACTTTTGGTCGGTGAAAGTGAGTGATTAATTTCGACATAATGTGAACTAATATCAAAGCAAGCACACAACTGTTGCTTTTTTGGTCTGTTTGTTTATTTGTTTGCCTTCTCGGGCTTATTTTCTCCAAGAAAACGAAATACTCATAAATATGTTCAAGACGGCGAGACGCTAGACTTTTTTTATAAATGCATTACGCTAATGAGAACACCCATTATGTACATTTGGTCTCTGCGGTGGATCGATGTTGACGAGTTTTCCTTTGGCGTGTCAATGTTCATGTCGTTTCAGGTGTTTTTTTCCGGCGAACGTACGTATTACCTACGCAGAAAATAATGTAACCAGAGGTCAATCCATTCTTTTGTCTCAATGCGTGCCTAGACTTGGAAGAAAGTTCATTTGTTGATACGTATATTTACTGATACTGCCAGCAAGCAATAAGTACATACATACATAATTTGTGGTTGATTAACTATCTCCCCGTCGGGGGTAGGCTAGAATTAAGAGAAGAAAGGTGAGACCCCTGTCATTGGTATGAACAGTGTTAAAACGGACGAAGCTCTGCAAGACGTTTGGGAAACAAATCTAATTCCTGCAGTTGTTCCAGACCATACGAGCAGTTCGCCACATGTCATTTCAGAACAGCCCAGGACGACGCTTTCCTCCTTGCCGGATGGAACAGGTTGGTCATCATGAACTAAAGAATATGAGTACAAAAAAACATGAATAATATTTTGCATAATTCTGATTATAATCAAAAATCGGGTTTAGATTTTGCGAAAATTCGTATTAAAACTAATCAATATTACATATTCATATTAGTAATATTTTCGTGTAACATTACATTTTTATCGGCACGTTTGCTAATAAACAACAGGAGATTAGTATTCCATTCCCGCAGTTATTTTATTGCATACATATCCAAAATATTTTAACCTTGAATAGTACAACCAACTATGTATTTATTTAGAAATAACTTGCCCCACTCGGTGCTGATCGATTGATTATATGGACACACAAATTCGTCCCATATTTGATTACATACCTTTATACAGAATTGATGACCACTACTGGATAGATAGATACACATACAAGTTCATATTTATTCTGCCAACTTCACCACTATTATTCAAGGGGCCATGTTTCTTTAACAAGAATTGAGAACAAGAAAAGGGCCGTTTCTCTTCAGCTTTTATGCTTTTATTTGACATGCTAAAAGTAGTTTGTCAAACTTGATAAGTTTTACTCACTTATAAAAAAATTATAACAGCAGCAGCAGAGCTAAAAGGATCCGTCCACCATTACACTCGAAGAACTCACCAGCCCAGCAAAAATCCAGAAGTGTCCGCTCGCTTAGCTGGCGTCGAGGAGGTCGTCATATCATTGGAACAATGTGAGTTGGTTACATTTATGCATATTTATTTAATATTTACATAAATATGTACGTATGTACGTCACTTGTATAAAGTATTGATTTTAATTTTCAATGTTGGTCAGCCTTTCTTCACTGTGTGAGCTCTAACGCGACGAAATATTTTGTGCGGGACGTGTCCAAAGGAGAGGAGTCAGTAATTTTTGAAGCGACCCAGGCAGCGTCAACCATCTGGAATTTTGGATCTCTTAGAAATGTCGTCCTTAGAGCAGACGACGTGCCGTTTGCACGAGTTTGTTTCAAAGAAAAGCATTATTGCATTGAGAGTCTTGTAATTAAAGAATTGATTCATTTTAAGATGCAAGATTTGCATCTTGGTCATTAATATCATATTTATTTTTATCAGGTTTTGGCAGTTTACGCACCTCCTGAATCTCTCATTGGCACAGTTGAAGAAAGTTCGAGCTGCTTTGTGCTTTCTTCGGAATTCATTCTTGGAGATTCGAATGGGTAAATTTCTGTGAATAAAAATTTTCACTTCAAATTTTTCTGAATTTCTATTCCAATAGGGACCATTTGTTTCGGATAAATTGTGATAAAGGATTCTGCACTTCTCAATTTTTTGTGAGTCATTTTATAATTTAAATGGGTATTTTAAATATGCACAAGCAATTTATAATTTTCTAACGATAATTTAGGTCACTTCTTTACAAAACCTTGATGATTCGAATGACCAAGTGGCACAAATCCTTGAAAAATCCGGCACCAGTATTAGAGTCAAGTTTGTTGCAAAAATGAGCATTACCAGCAAGTTGATCTTGATTGGATTTTGTATCGGGGCTGTAAGTAATTTTAAGAGTATGGCATCATTTCACAACCACACAAACATTAACAATTTACGGTTTCTACTTCAGATTCATAAAGGATTTTGCCAGAACATGACCGACTCACAAAGTTAATACTTCAATCTCTGTTATATAAATATTTTATTTTTTAACCGCCAATTATGTATACATACACTTTCATCAAAACAACTTGTCATCATAATTATCTTTGAGAGAATGAATGAGAACGACAACCAATTTATACAGCTTGACAACTTGAGACTTTCCCATTTCTGGAAACTCTCTCACATTGCCTCCGCTCTTCTAAATCAATCAAAACGTTTATAAATAATAAATCAAACATTACAAATCGCAACTCTGAAACCACTTCATTTCAAAAGCCTACTACGAATCAGGACAAATCAATAATTTCAATTCGTTGTTGCTTTCTCCACCACTTGGCACTGTAAAGTATATACTTTTCATGAAAGAAGAACCATGCGTGGCTTGGCCTTGGGTTTGGATACGTGATATTCTGAAGGTCTCTAGCTCCAACGGCGTTCGATTACTTACTTCTTTGTATTGATGGCATACGATTCCAACCCTGAGTGAGGAGGATAAAGAAAAGAACTCATTTCTCACCTAAAGATTCAATTGCAAAAATAATGGAAAATGTCAGCAGCATAACACAACAAATACCTAGCAAATCCTCCCATAATAATAAAATCATACGTGTATGCACATATGAAATAAATGTGCGTATTATCAAACACGATGAAAATATATAACCCTTCATGTTTCCAGCGTTAAGTAAGTCAGTTGCAATTTACCACTTCAGGTCAACATATCACACCCTCTTTTTCCTCAGTGTGCATATTTTTCATAACGAAAGCACCATTTCAGAATGGAGGACGACCCTTATTCGACCGTTTGGCTAGAAGCGAAACCAGTTTCGCCAAGCAAAACAAAAAGTCCACATCCAAACTCGAAGCACTCAAAGTTTTTCAGTAAAGCGGGACAAAAACGGTTAAGAAAAATTTGGGATGATCATAATTTAGACGAGGAAGTCCTGTTTACGGGGATAGCTGAGCCGAGTGACTCCTTCATGAGGGAGAAAGTATCCGACTATGTGCAACACTACTTATTTCGGAGGGCGAGACGGTATTATTGCATTTTTACACACTTACTTTACGGTAATACGGAGTTTACGGCAATAAAAATGGATTAAATAGAAAAGTTTTTTATTAAAAGGTTGTCTATGGGTGGAAAAACGAGCAAATCTCAACCTGCGATTTATGTCGGTATGAAAGGGAAACAAAAATTCAGAGAATATGAAGACTTTATTAACAACATAAACAAGGAACGCGATAAAATTCGAATGCTTCATGAATCTGAGCGAATATCCGAGTTGCTGATTACAGGAAGGATTAAAATTGCGCCGGAAGAGTTTCAAGATATTTTTAAGGATCCTGTTTTCAAGTATTAGTTTATTTATGGCTACAATTTGTTTGTACTGCTGAAGTATTTACTAAATATGATAAAAATTGGATTTTGTAGAGTGAACCGATTATTGGAGTCCGTTAAGAAACTGGGACATTCAAAAATTAAAGTGGACGTGCTACCTTTTGAAATTCCAACAATGAAGATTAAAATCCTAGATGATAACTTTAAATTAAAAGATCGTAGTAAGATAGATGAGAAAAAATATGCCGATTTTAATCCACCTAGATCTAGCACAAGATTAAATTTAAGAGGAAATGATACTGTAGCAAGCATTTCTGTTAACTCTACATTTAACATTGCGGAATTGGATGCCGTCTCAGCATCTTCTGGATTTAATGGTAATAAAATGAAATATCAGATTATCAGTTGTTCAAATGTGTTAAATTTGTAATTTAAAATTGCATTTTTATAGAATTTAGTAATTCGAACCTGCGCGATTCAGAAACACCGTATAATAAAATTTCTACGTTGAGAGAATCCTCATCAGCAAGAATGTTTGAATCTCAGAATAATACTGCAGATAAAAGTTTCCTGGTCGAATTTCCTCCCTCAGATGATGAAAGAAGTCGCAGTTACAGCGTAATTTCTGAACTGAGTGATCAAGAATTATCTGCTTGTGCAGAGAAACAATTTGCAACGAAAGGAATTACTGGGGATTTGGAGATTTCGGCAGAATTTTCATATGAACATGCACCCCTAGAAATAGCCAGGGATCTAAATGTAAGTATTTGAGTAGTAGTTTAATAGATACAAATGATACATGATTTTCTGCTCTAGGATTGCAACTTGATGTACAAGTTGGCGTCTGACATCATTCAAATGTTTCAAAGGCAGGAAGTCGTCGGGGATGAGTGGATGGAATATTTTTCCCTCACGTATTTCAAATGACAAGTAATGCTTAATCAAATACAGATAATCTGCACGAATGTGCTGATATAGAAAATCGAAGTACAAATTGCTCCATTTCGATTGCGTGCTACAAAGTAGTTTATGTATACAAGAAATAATAATGAGTTATCAGATGTACTGTATTGGCGACTCAACATTGTACAAAACAACCTACAAATAAGAACCCAAGCACTGTTACATATGTCGCAAAAATAAATTATAACTTGGCTTTCAAGTGTTCAGTTGCTTGAGTACATGCAAATGTGCTAGAGCCCACTTATTGCATATTTTTCATACGTATTTAAGTACGAATTTTTGAAGAACCCATATTCTTGAACTTCTGCTTATTACATACAGTTGACAGTGGAGATTTTGGCAAGGGTTGCAAACAACTATTACCCACTTGTTTGTTAACCTGCCATGGCCATTATTACATAATTCTTACAATAAGAGATATATGGTGTTGGTTGCAAATGTTAAGAGTGCAATTCTCTACATGTACAAGTCACGTAGATGAAAATATGACCTTCATTTCATTTATGCATATATTTATACGAGGAGGATTGCCTCTGTGGTTATTGGGTGCAATCATGTTTAACTTTTATATGTAATGACAAATTATTCGCAATATTATGTGCATTTATAAGGCGAGCATGTACTGCTCATAGTCTCACGATCACAGGACACAACTGGAATTAACTTATTATTTTACAGAAAAACATTAAAGTGAGCAGTGTATTCATGTGATGTAATGTGATCAGTTAAATAATTTTATTTTATAAGTAAAAGTTTTTATCGAGACAAAAATGCTTTCCAAATCAACGCAAACAATGGTCTTGTCGACGATGGGGAAGAGATATTTTTCTATGAGCACGCCAAAATCAAAGTAAGAAATACGTTACAAAAATCACAATAATGCCATTAATTTAACTTTCCCATTTATGTAGGCACTTTAAATTGGTCGTTGTGGGAGGTGGTGCTGGGGGCTGCTCTATTGCTGCAAAATTCGCTCGAAAAATTGACCCGAAATCCATTGCTGTGATTGAACCCGCAGACGTAATATGCATACATACATAAATCCAAATTAAGTTTCTGTATCGGATGACAAATTGCTTAAATTTCAGATGCATTACTATCAACCGCAATGGACGATGGTTGGTGGTGGAATGAAAAAGTTGGAAGAATCTGGAAGAACGATGGAATCCGTACTTCCAAAAAGTATCACATGGCTGAAGGAAAAAGCCGTAGGATTTTATCCGGACAAGAATTTGATTCAGATTAGTGGCAAAAATCAAGAACCTATTCAATATGATTATCTCGTGGTGGCAACTGGTATCCAGTTAAATTTCAACCAGGTAAAATATGCAAAGTTATGCATTATCTCTAAACATACAGTGAGCAGGAGTTAATAAAACCAGGATTTGTGTATGTACAACATCGCTTCTTCTGTAGATCAAAGGATTAATCCAAGCTTTCGACACTCCTGGGGTTTGCTCGAACTATTCGCCTTTGTACGTGAACAAGACTTTGGAAAGTATTAAAGGATTTAAGAAAGGTAATAAATATCACAAACTGTGCGAGACAATGAATGCTCTAAATGAGAAAATAACTTAAAAAACGCAATCTTATGTATGTATACCTGTGTAGGGAACGCAATCTTCACATTTCCAAATACGCCAATTAAATGTGCAGGAGCTCCGCAAAAAATTATGTATATCGCTGACAGCTATTTTCGCAAGGTGTGTACTAACTTAAAGACTATGATATTTATTTTTTTAAAGAAATAAGTTAGTAATAACATCGCTTGAAATATTAAATTTTTTATGCAGCACGGGAAACGACAAGATGCAAATGTCGTATTTAACACATCGTTGGGCGTCCTATTCGGCGTAAAGAAATATGCAGACGCTTTGTGGGAGATTGTGAAAAAACGCGACATCAAAGTCAACTTGAGAACGAATTTGGTCGAAGTAATACCAAAAGAAAGGAAAGCAATTTTTGAAAATTTGGACAAGCCAGGAACAAGTGAAACGTTTGATGTGAGAAAATAATTATTATTATCACCATTTTAAGCAAACTTATCTCCTAATTCTTCATTGATATGTACATATTTAGTATGAAATGCTTCACGTAACACCCCCAATGGGGCCGCACGATGTTATGAAGACCAGCGCAGGTGACCTCGTTGATCCTGCCGGTTATGTAAATCTGAACAAGACAACCTTACAGCATGTCAAGTATCAAAATATCTTTGGCCTGGGAGACTGTACAAATCTGCCCACGTCCAAAACTGCGGCAGCCGTTGGTACATACATAAACGTATAATTTATGCATATCAAATTAAAATATGAATTATTTGCCCTACAATAATTTCCCTTCAGCCGGTCAATGTGGCATCCTTTCCCAAAACCTGTGGAGCGTAATGAACGGTAAAGATCCCTTGGGTCAGTACGACGGTTACACATCTTGCCCCCTGGTTACCAGCTACTCGACCTGCGTCCTGGCAGAGTTTGATTACACGAGCCAACCTTTGGAGACATTTCCTGTCAATCAAGCCAAAGAAAGTAGGGTAGCCTTCCATTTGAAAAAGGACATCATGCCTGGAATCTATTGGAATCTAATGTTAAACGGACATTGGAATGGGCCAGCAGCTTTCAGAAAGATTGCACACTTAGGATTTGGCAAGTAGGTTGCATTCGCGGGCGACCAAATGGTGGGTGTGGTTGACGCTATTAGAGGAGTGTTTTTGATGGAATTACATATCGCACTCGAAGTAAATTAGTTGACAGGTGCTATGCTATTATAAGCAATAAAAGCACGCACGCAACAAATTGACGTCATAATAACAGAAGTGATCCACTTACGTCTAGTTGGATCATATATGTACATACATAGGAAAGTATAACCTCATTTTTTACATGGACCGTGGTAGATTAGACGTTATTATTGTATCTGTGTGAATGTAGCACCCAATATTATCTTCTCTTTCAAGTAAACGTGAATGATATACCACAAATGTAATTATTTAATGAGCAGCTAGGTACGATACATATACTAATTTTTTGTTACTATCTGGTTGGAATAGATGAATTTAATAGATGGACGAATAGTGTGTTCATTTCGTTTTTATTGCACATTATTATGAAAATATGAAATTATTCCTCGTGCGTATGTGTGTTTTACTACAATTCTAATTACGCACATAATACAGATAAACTTCGCATTTTTCTGGAAAGTAGTATTCAAATTGGTATGTATATTTACGTATGTTTAATACTATTAATTATTAGTCAATTACCAACCTAAATCCAACCTTGAATATTGTCCAAACGTGTAAGTATTTGTTTTCCATGAAAAATATTTAGGATTCACGCCTGAATCAGCAATCTAACGATTAAAGAAATTATGCTGTAAGACTACAAGAGTTTATTATGCATTAAGAGAATAAAATACGCAATTTAAACGACGACAAATTGCTCATCTTTTTCATCGATTGTCTCCGCATTCCAATCTCAGCATCTTCACCATTACGAATTCTTAATGGATTAACACATGGATAATTTGCATAATATGAAGTGAGGTTGAACGAATTTATTACACATGTGTAATGGCCCAATATAGTTTTTAGATCGTGTGTACCTACGTACGTACTTTTTATAAAATAAGTGCACTAAAAATGTGTGAGCAATTTAAGAAGAGCATATATCTATATATCATCTATGTAAATTGCCTATACAAATTTTTGTGTCCCATGAGCAATTAGTCCTCTCTGGTTAAAATCACTTTTCCTCCCAAATTATCTTGTCCGCAAAACAATCACAGCAAGAAACAAGGGTATAAAACTAGCACTATTTACTAGCAGTGACCATTAATCGCTCATTCGTTAAAAATTCCAAATATCTAGACAATAAGACGTGGTTTGACCTTAATCCATCACACTCGCCGCTGATTTTGTTACGATGTGCAGACCAGTGGTTGCTAAAGATATTGTTGTGGCGTGGCGTGGCATGGCATGATATTGTCCATTACTGTTTGCAACTCAAGGCAAAAGATTTTATATGCAGCCACAAACTGCGCTTTGGTTAGCAGTTTGGATTCCATAATTATGTATGTGAGTATGTATTCATTCTCAATTAAGACTAGTGGTGGGAATTTACTGCCTCTTTTGCAGAAAACAATTACCTAAATTCTACCCACGATAGGATACATATACGCTGGACTGTTTTTATGTGATTAAATGGAAGACACGCTTGGCTAGCCGTGGCGTAGTCTTAATATTCCAGTAACTTGCATAAGTATTTAGCTATCCATCCTGGCAGTTCGTTTTAATGTTGGACGTAACGTTGCATGACCAAGCAACCTACCGGCAATGGTAGCGTTCTATTCATTATTGAGGTCGAAGAAGGAAAGGTCCACAATTTAGTGGGTACTTTTACATAAGTTCACATGTACGATAAGATTATATAACCAAAATTTCATTGGTAAAAAAAAAACATTTCACACACAATAAGACCAAAAAGTGGTGATGAAATTGAAGATTAATATCTCAATTTTGAAGTTATCGCAGATACATATTATTGATCTTGAGGATTTAATTATCTTATTGTGTTAGTTTATGATTTTATCAGTGCTAAATACAAGCGTGACTCATTTTCTGCACAGTAAACAGTTACAGGAATATTCTAAAATTATGTGCAAGAGCTACTCACAATTAACCGTTGTAGTCTAATCATCCGAAAAGTAATAGATAATCTAAGATTTAAAATAGAGTTAAGTTGTGCCCGTCAACCTTGCTAAATTTTGTAACGTTAGGCAATCTTGTTCAATGGTCTGAATTAATATCCAGCACCTGCTGCTTCATGATTTACGAGTGTAATAAGTATGCATAATATGGCGTTGCTCCGAAATTAATTTGACATAAAATGAAATTGAGTTACAAATACAAACTCAAATAAAATCTACGCATATAAATAAACCAACCAAACTGGATACAATTCTGTAAGAATCACCGGAAATCATACAACTTAAGTGTTATGTTAAGTAAATAATTTGTATCTCCGAAATCTGATCAAATTCCTTTCATGTGACGAGTGAAATGTCAACAATTGACAAGAAAGTGTATCGTTAATCCAATCCCACCAACATTTTTTCTTCAGTTTGTCCGATTTCAGTGTAAAAATGACGTCCTTCCAACAAGCGTTTGCAGTACACTGTTACATTGCAATAAGCGTTATCTTTATGCCCGTAAGATCTTTACCATTTCCAAAACCCTTAGCCGAACCAAATGCAAACCCAACCCCACAATTCCCCCCGATCGGACACAGTCAAAGTTCTCAGCATCTTACAATGTACAAACCGATTCAAATTGGTTATCAATCTCCAGCAGTTAGTAATAGTGGTGGTGGTGGGTTTAACCCTTTGTACCCAGTGTTCACCTACAATTATAACGTGTCTCACCCTCTAAAACCTTACGGACAACAGCCAGGCTCAAGACAGTCTGGCGTCCTTTTGGACTCACAACAAGTCCAGTATTTAATGCAGGGGCAACAGCGTCGTGGCATCCAAACTGGTCAGCCCTTACAACTTCAGTACCAAAGACAATTTCAACAAAATAAAATTTATGCCCCTGTGATAATTACGAATTCAAATGCTATTAAAAAACCGACGCAAAATCTCGTGGCTTCCGGTCGAGGAGCCTTTTACGAGACTGACAGTGAAGAACCTGGTCTTGGACTTCGAACGAATACTGTTAATGGAAGCCCCAGGACGCGTACTGACAAACTTATTCTCGGTAATTAAGTATAATTAGACATGTGTTTTTTCAAAAATTATTTTTAATTATTTTATAATTATCTTATTAGATCAACGAGTTCGCAGCCAGCAATCTTTAAGTTTAAATCAACAAGCATTTAACCAACAGAGTTTCCGATACCCAGAAAACGTAGCTTTTCCCAATATCAATAATCAATTCTCGCCACAAAGTATTGTTCAATTGCCGTACAATACCGGCATTACGACCACCCGGCCACCAATTCATGTTCCATACTTGACCACTCCCAACTCGCTCAAGAAACTTCAACAAATACAGAAAAATTCGCAACAAACAATCGCAGGTAGATAAATAAATGCATAAAGCGTACAATAAAATTTTCCAGTTTAAAAAAAAATCTGGAAAATTAATTATTACCATTTCCTACTTGATTCAACCTTGACTTTGAGAGTCATTTTTCCATAATACTTAATAAGTAAAACTGGTCTATTTAGTACGTACTGCGACGTAAACGTAAGTACGCAAATATTTCAGTGAGATATTTTCTCATCGATTTAATTGATACAGCTTAACTTCCACAGGTTTATGTTCAGCATAATAACACATATTTCCTTTAATAAGACTTAAATTTCGTTAAAATGATATGTATATTATACCAACAATAAGGACTAACTTTAACCAATTAACAAAACGCTTTGGCTTTGACCTTAAAATCGCAGGCTTCCGGTCTCACCTGGGTCTAATTAACCCTGCCAGCATCCAATCTACTTCCTTAATTGAACTTGATCGAAATTCTCTCCTGAATTTGAGCCCTGCCATAAGAAGTGGAAGAGTTCAGAACATCGTGGTTCCTGTATCCACCGCTGGCCAGACTCCGGCAGGGACACGACTCCTTCAACAGAACATCAACAGCTTGCAAAACCTCCAAAATGTGGTTGCCAACAATGTTTATGCTCACCAAAGGGGACAACAACTCTTCACTGGAAGGACTTTAGACGTGGATCTGTCCAGTCCAAATCTCCACATTTTGAAAGGAATCGCCATTACGCCAGAAAATCAGCGGGACGTTGGTCACTTAATTTTTACAGATCCTCGCAATCCTACCGTTCCGAATGGGGCAGTATTGGCTAGCACGGCTCAAAAGGTGTTTATTTTACCGCAGGGGGGCGACAATCTGGCTGCAACAGACTCTGGTAAGGTCGGCTTCATAACGCTTCTCCACCCATTACCAAACTACCACTTAACTACTCATTACTTTTAATGTAAGATTTTTTCAGAAACTTTTATGTACATAGTTATGTAGCTAGGACAGAAGGAGGGAGGAGTGCGGATGATAAAATTTCATAATTTTTTTTCTACATTTCAGAAAATGCAATCAATTTTGATGAGACGCCGGCAGAAATTGTTGTCACTGTTGTGGACGAGGACGATTCCAACTCTTCAATTCCTGGTACAAATAAACCCACCGAGAAGGGAAAAGTTATCACAAATTTTTCCCTATTTTTACTTCCAAGTTCTTACAAAAAATGTGCTGAGGGCTATCGCAGAGCACAAAGTGGAAAATGCAGACTAATAATTAAACTCAGGGGGGGAAATAGGGTTTATTCTGGGTAAATTTTAAATAGTTTTTAAATAATTTTTGAGCAAAATTTTAAATTTTCGATTAAATTATCTATAGGAAATATTAATGTTATTCTATTGTACAGGGTTTCGTGTTTTGTTAATAAATGTCCTTTCCTATATGAAAGTTAATTAAAAAGAAATGCAAAATATTTAGCATTCAATAATAATAATACTGTTAACTGTTGTTGATTTAATGCAAAATTTATTGAACCGTAAGCAGAATGTTGTTCCAAGAAATAAATAGATACCAAGTATGTTAAGGTTGAACTGTGTTCAGCAACCAACAAGTTATTAGTCACTGGTATTCCACAACAAAGTTGACGGCAAATAATCGACCCAAGTGATCTATTAATGTGTGCAAAGTTTATGTATGCAAAATACCCAATAAATTCTGATCAAATTATTGACCCACTACTCCATAACATATAACTTTCTTGTGTATTTACTCCTGATTACTTTGATATACAACATGCGTCATCAGCAAAGTAATCAGTTCGCAAAAATCTATTAATTCATTTGTTATTATCTAATATCACTGTTCATCACAGCGTAATAAACGAATGTATGCTTTGTTTCTTATAGTTGTATAAATCAGAAAATGCAATTTAATTAGCGATTACTTCAAACCCAGAAAAAACATTCGGCTACTGGCAAACAATGCAAAGAAATGTGATGTGATCTATGTATTTACAAACTATATCATGATCATCATTAAGTGAGAGGAGTACCTACGTCAGAGAGGGTGATATATAACAATAAATAATCTGCCCTGTGCAAAACCAAGTTGAGACGAACCTGATTTCATTTTATGGGAATAATTGCAATCCTGTATAAAATATTATATGGAGTGAGTATTCCATTATGTACAACGGGTTATGATATTCTTTTTATGAAAAGCGTATTAAGATTGCATATCGCAAGCCACCTTTTTCTTGACGTGCAACAATTTTACCTGGTCGCATGTGTATCCTACCCTCCTGCGAAGTAAGTAAGTAAATACATGATATTTATTTTCGCAATAGCTTTTCTACGATACAATAGCGGCTGCAAAATTCTTGCGGTCAGTCACGGAAAGATCTTCCCGGAGTCGACATTACCACAAGTCGAGCCAAAACAGATCATCATAATCGCAATACACTTTGATTAAAATATAATTTCAACCCAGTGAATTCAACAAAGTGATTTTACAGCAACATACATACATACATTATTTAGTTGTACTTTGGATTCCCAATCAATCAAACGTCAATTTTAGCCACAGACAACATAAAACCTGACCATACTTCGAGATGAGGGCCAATCTCCTAGTTTTTGTCGGAATAATTTCTGCATTAGTGTCGAGTGCAGCATTGAAGCCTTTGAATGATAATAATAATAACGTGGACAAGTTAAACCTCTTGGGCAAGCAAGGTTACGAAGTTATCTCCGACGCTGAAGAGATTCTCACGCCAGTGTCGGACAAAGACAATGGCGTGGATTTGTCAGACAGAGAAAAGTCCAAGCCTGAAGTTTTGCTTTACGGAAGATTTTATATCCTAAGAAAAAAGGGGAATTTAAATGGATGGTACAACAAGTTCGTAAAACCAGGTATGAAAATATGTGTCTAACTAAATAGTAGACAGTTACATGGGATTGATTTATGTAGATTGAGTCTGGTACAGCATAAGTCATGAAATCTCACGGTCATGTCTGCATGAAAATTCACAACCAGTCTTTATCCTCAATCTTTAACTCATTTATTTAATTATATGACTTTCCAGAAAATCTTTTCAAAAGTTATCCTGCTTCCACTCAGCAATATTTCCAGTACCGGAGTCAACTTGCTTCTACGCCTGCCACGCCATGGCAAATGCCTAATGTTGGTCTGACGTATCGAAATCGCTCCCCAATAATTCATTCCACTTCTAAAGCTGCTGTTGCTGGAAGAAATGAGGATAAGGATGCAAAATCTCATAATGATGCTATCTTTTTTCCTGGCGATGCGGAATCCACGACCACAAAGAAGTACTTAATACGTCGAAATAGTGGTGAGTTGCGTTAATTTTGCTTATATAAGATTAATATTGTGAAATTCGCCGTTAGTTGGAATAGGTTTTTTGTATCCCTCAATCATTTTTCGTAGAGAACCTCAGTCGCTATTTGCATATGTCCGTCGTTTAAAACCTTCCGTGACTTTTAAACAAACAGGTTTCATTTGCACGGGATTATTACAGATTAAAATTGGAATTGGAGAAAAAAGATGGTTCATTTTTCAGTATTCACGTGTTAAACAATTTCATTTCACCCTTCATTTTAGTGCTTACTTGGACTTTTATGCAAACCAGTTAACACGCGAATGTGGAAATTCCCATGAACACTTTATGCGTTTAATGCAAGACACTCTACATAGCTTCAGATAGACATATCACTTCTTAAATAACGCAAAATATGTAGATTGTCGTATATATGTATATAACCATCCTATAAAAAATGAAATGCTGCAATTATACATAAAATGTGTTTACTTTTCTCATTTTCTAGAAGCTCCTTCCAGATTACCTTCTGAAAACGAACAGCGTGACCAGGAGGATGCTCGACTAGGACATAACATCAGGAAATCACAGGCTTCTGGGAAATCTTCACATACTTTAAGCATTTCAGAGAAAAAATCCTCACTAGAAGCCAAGCCTGACAAAGTTGTAAACAATTTTGACCATATGACCTCTGATGAATTCGTTAGCTGGATCAAAGACAATTTGAACACGGATCAAATTGATCATTTGGTTCAAAATTCTGGCGAGGAAGTGACAACAGCAACGTCTGATATTCGTTACAATTCTTTTATCCTGGTCCCTGGGTTGAAATGTGTGGAAGGCGAAAGAATGAATCATCGTGGCGTTTGCACTCCAAAATATGTACACATTCCATCACCTCACGACGCCAAGATGAAAGCTAAAATAAATCAGGGAAATACTAAAAAGAAATTGTTCGAAGTTTTGAAAACCTTGAAAAAAATGGAAGCTGATTTGGAAGTTGCTTTGGAGGAGTCGGAAACATCAAAATCAGAACAAACGACGGGAAGTAGTACGAGTGACACCGATTCAGAAACATCTACAGTTTCACAAGTGGAGACGGAAAGCTAGAATTTGTGGTCATAAACTTTAAGTTAAATATTTCGTGTTCATACATGAACTCAGCTTTTTTCCTCATTTACATTTACATTACATTATACATACATACACTGTCCACTTATTGTTATTAAAGATTTCAGTATTGTCGAGTGACAATAATTGAGAAGGATCGATAGTCTGTGATATTATGATATATTATATAAGCATTTACTACTACATAGACAATTTTAATAAAATCTGAATTAAGTAATTGAATGAACAAAATTAGCAGTCAAACACTATTTATCTCACTATTTACACTGCATACATCGAATCATCTTAACTAATGTCTCGAAGTATCTAACTGCATTCGAAAATATTTTCATAACAAATATGCAAACGACGCTAGTCGAATGTAAATCAGATTTCAGATAGATAACGCTTACATAAATAACCTGCACGTGTAAGGCATAAATGAAACAGTAAACTTAGAGGTTTTCCAAGGTCGCCCGGATAAATAATTAGTGATATAATTATCATTCCATCACCTAAAACAAGAGCACGCCGGAAATCACGCAGGATACAGAGCTACATGAGTAAGAAAATTGATATGCGTAACAAAAATAATTTATAATTTACACCATGTCGCCTCAAAAATAATTTCTAAATTGGTGATGACTCAGAAGATGAAATGTATAAATCAAATTCATAAAACCAAATGGTTCGGTTGTCCAGTCAACGGAATTTTATGAAAATAAAGATTTTGAGAGTTTGACCTAAAATTTTTGAGCATGAAAAAATTAATCATTTTTAAAAGATCGAAACGCCATCATCCCCACACTGATCACTCCGCCCACTCACTTAAACCAAATCACTGCGACTATCATAAAGTGCTACATCATATACATACATATTTTCATCCCCAAAGAAATCAAACATCAATGGAGCGAGGAGACGGTTTTTGGTCGACTGGGAACAAGGGGTGGAAGACCCGTCGAGAACAACAGGACGCATACCGGAAAGCTTTGGATAATCAAATTCAGGAACGGAAGAAGATTGGGGATCAAGGTCGTCCTAAATTTCGAGGTATTGAAAAACAAATTTCCGTATTAACGTCATAGTTCAATAATTTCGACAAAATTTTCCAGTGCCCGAATCTCCAAAAATTGACCCCGTTCAGCATCTAATGCCATGGTTGAACGCTGCTGGAGGACCTCCAGCTTCGGAGCAGTCACATCCACCACAACCACAACAACCTGCTCCAGTCCCTCAAGTCGCTCATCAGTACCTTCAACCTCAACAAGTGTACGGAACACCTCCGAATCAACCGGTGGCAAATTACTACTACGTTTCAAACCCAGTCCTCCCCCCAATCCAACAGCACCAAGGACAAGTTGTTCAACCGCAGCCATCTGTAATTTTATCAACCCAGCAGCAGCAGCAGCAGATACACCCTTCCGAAATCAGCAGAGACCAACAAGGTTCCTTCGCCTATTTTGGGTCGTCGCCGATCCCTCCCCCACCAGCTTTTGTGAGCAACCCAGCCGTCTACTCGACAGCGTATGGAGGAATGGACCCGGCGTCAAATGCGCCAGTAATGACGCAACATCAGCTTCCTACTCCAGGTATGTTGACCATGTGCGATCCCTATGCATCACAAAATAAATAATTTAATTTCTGAAATTTAATTGCAGGATATCATCACATTCCTGCTCCTGTCCCTCAGCAGCAGCTGCCTTACACTCATCCTCAACCAATTCCAGTGCCACCCCCACCCGCTGGTCCAGCACCGTACCACACCGCATCTGACAATAAGTTGAGAGAAGACCAAAGGTCAAACCATGACACCACTTCTGGAGTGGCAGCGTATCGACAAAAGTCTGAGAAAGATTTGACCAAGAAGGTTCACGTGTCTCAAGTACATACAAATTTTATTGAACCACATTTGGAACTCTGTAAATTAGTATCAATGATTCTCAATTTCATATCTCCAGACTTCTGAAGAGTTGCCCAACTCTCAATCAAAAGATGACTACCGGATGGAACTCGCAAAGCAGGTGGACGAAAAACGGAGGAAGGACGAAGAACGTTTAAAGAGGGAACAAGACGAGGAAGAACGCCTGCAACGCAAAATTAGAGAAGACCAGGAACGGTTACAACGTGAGCTGGAAGAAGACTTGCGACGAGCGCAGGAAAAGGTTAAATAGCATTAAAAAATAGGATTGACCTATACAAATATTGACATAAAATTATTTCATCTTACTTTTCAGGAAGAAGACGAGAAACGCAAAGCTTCTGAAAAAGTCAAAATTTCCGAATTAGCCAAGAAAAAGTTGGAGGAGGAAAAGGCCGAGATTGAAAAACAAAGACAGAAATCATACGCAGAGCGTCAAGAACAACTGAAAAACGCTGCGTCCAACTCTCGAGCCGCCCTGAGCACGTCACCCTCTCGATACTACCATCGTGACAATTCCGACCCATCCTGGTCATGGGATTCGACACCGGTACGATCCATCAAGAAGGCCAATAATGCTGCCCACTCGGAGGAAGGATCAGGAGATGCTACTAACCAATCTGAACATAATCGTCGAAATCCACAGCAATTCTCACATCCTCCCAGCGTTAAAACGAGTGCGAGAAGTAATCGTTCTTCAAGAGCCGGTATGAAAACATAACAAATTATTTATAGCAATTTAACATAATTAATCAACAAAAATACATAATTAATATCTAGAGTATGACGATTTTGAAGACACACAACCAACTTCAGCATGCAGTTCGAAAACGTACTCAGTTTCAGAAAGTTGCCACGAAGATCATAACCACGACCAGAACTGCTCTGGAATTCCTTCCGGTTTGAGTAAAAGTGCGGAAGAGGTCGGTCCAACGTCCACGGAAATGATGATGTGCCCCCGTTGTGCTCGTTCATTTTGTGAGTTAAATTTCTGAAATGAAGATAATTTACGTTAACTAACTCAAACTCTGTATTATATTATGTAGCTTCCTCTGACATCGCATATCCGAAATCCGACGTCGAGCGTCAAAAAGTTCTCAACTTCTTGGATAACATTAAAAAACGGTTAAGAGAAGATCAGGACAAGGTCATGAGGATGAGGGATGGCTTTGGATGGACGCGATAGGACCAGATTTATCTATAACAGATAATTTTTCAAATGCGAAATTAAGTGAAGTGTTAATTGTACGTGAATCTATGTAATACTACAATTTTATTGTGAAATACTGTGTAAAATTGTGCATAAATTAATAACAATCTGTTAAACACCGACATAAGTGAATAAACAATATACACGATCCGGCTTGCAATGCATTCATTCATCGTAATCTTTGTTCGCCAGTAAAAATCTCTTAATCATGCAAAGTTGTTTAACCATTGAAAACAGCAATAATTAAACCAGGCACAACTAACATACTAAAAATACATACATATACAAGTGTTTATTTACTATCTTTACTCTTCCCGTTTTTGCTTTTAATTTTTTTATTTTCATTTTACAAAATATATTTACTACTTTTGACCATGTACTTGCAATTCAAAGTCAATGTCCTACATTTAATTGTTTTAATTAGTGGTGTTATTATGTGATTTTTAAAATTGTAGCAACATGGACTTATTAAAAGCCTTGATTGAAAATCTTCCAGCAGGAAGTTGTCTCATTTTGACAGAGTTAGTGGTCACCGGTCTCAATGCGTACGTGGTTTATGGAATGCTCAAAGCTTGCAAGGCGTCTGCTACCGTATTGGACACATTGCAGGTAAATATTATCATATTGTTATAAGTACAACTATAGCTACAATAAATAGTAAAACTGACGCCTAACCCCCTGTATTCATTCATTACATTCATTACAATCATATCAATGAAAATTAATCAGACTATGTAGATCTCCTTTTAATACTTATCGCATTCCAGATATCTCAATTCCATAGCCAAATCACTAGTCAGTTTCATTCAATAAAATTATCTTGCCAGAAACATAATCTTGTCAGATGAAAACAGGAAAATGCAGACAATCTACGTTAGACCAAGTATAATCTGTGTTACCTGTCTGAAACTCATCCTCAGTGAATCTGGAAATTCTTAATTTTTTGGATGTTACTAGAATGGAGATTTCGAATAAAATACAAGCCAACTTACTTTTATCTAGTGTCATATTCATCGAAATTCATTATCTTGTATTAATCTTCTATTGTGACTCCACCTTTGTTGGAGATGCGTCTAACCTTGAAACATTGTTCACAATTGATCGGTCAGCCCCCTCATCGACACACTTGAAAAAAGTGAATTAACTTGTACAAATATCAAAATATGATCAATTGAATCTATAAAAAATATGTACTTGAATATCGACCCAGGGTATTCAGTCTTTCAACGTTGGAAGGGAATTGGCACAAGCTGTTGATGATTCGCCGACGCAAGCCTTAGAATATGTCGCAGTACGAGGGAAAGTTTCCGGGTATCAAGATCCAGTGATCCCTTCCTCAGCCTACGGCTTGCCCAGCGTCATCAGGAAAACCAAGAATTTAGAAATTGTATCGAAATACGCTTGGGACTTATCCATGTGAGTTTACAATTCCTGTCAGCCAGTTTAGTCGTAAGAGTATTTAATTGCTCGCTATATTTTAAACTTCTTTTGATTTTTCAGTTACACTATGAACGGAAGGTCCTATGAAACTTCAGAATTTTCTCCCTTCCGACTCCGACCAATAACTGAAACTCAGATCTCATTCGATTTTAATGAAACATTTGCTCAACAATGTGATAAAGGAGGGAAGATCTGCTCGGCTGAGATGATATCGCCAAGTTTGATAATCAAAGACCTCACACAGCTTCACATGGAAGGTTTGCTCAAGATACTTCCGACCTACTATGAAACGGTGGATGAACCGAATAGCTCTTCCTTCAAAATATTAAAATACATCTTCGGACTTACAACTCCTGTGGGGATTAAAAAAACGGAAGCTTTACTCGCCTGTGGTGAAGTGATCACTGCATTTGGAAAAGTGCAGAAAACTGGGGAACACGAATATACGCTTATTCCTCCAATGCTCTCAAACTCGTTGTATATTCTGACGCCAAGTACTTATGAAGGTAATAATTATTTTTAGATTGTTTTTGTGAGTATGAAATTGAATTGTTAAACTAATTTTTACAGAGATTGTGGATAAGCACTACGTAGAACAAATTACGGCCTATCTGAAACTACTGTTTGTTTCCGCTGGAGCAGTTTTCGTATTATGGGACCTCGTTAGACGGATGCGCATTCTTTACAAGTCAATCTATCCTGAAACAATAATACAAATCGAGAACAAACACGACACCGTAACAGCAAAGAACACTGTGGGTGAAACTTTGAATCAACAATTGTGCATTGTATGCCAAGAAGCGCCACGAAATATTGTGTTACTAAATTGTCGGCACTTTTGCTTGTGTCAAAGTTGTTACGATATCCTCCAGAATCGAGGTCAAAATTGTCCTGTATGTCGAAGTAATGTCGAGGGAAAGATTGAAGTGTTTGTTTCTTAATAAATATTTATTTGTCCGGTGCAAAAAAAAATATATGTATGTAAGTACTTGTGAACACTATTTTTATTGGGGATGTGTTACAAAAATAAAATTCTACAGTGTCAAAATATTGTTCGTCATCGTCAATTAGAGTGTAGAATTTGTAATCCAAATTAATTGTATTATTCCTTGATCCGTGTATAACTTTTCGTTCTCATGCTGTGAGCATAATTACTCTGAATTTTAATCCATTCTCGAACCATGGATTCTTTGTCAATCTTTTTTTGTGGTAGTAAATCTTCGATTGTCTCGTCCCTAGATGTCAATAAGGTTAAATTTAAAATCCGATGTTGTGCTATAATGGGAGATAAGCAAAAAAAGTACGAGCGATCTTCTTCGACATTTCCGTTAGGAGTTGGTTCTTCTACTGCTATGAAATCAAGTTGGACTTCTAAATCTTCAAAACGGACGTTTTTAGCTCGCTCGTAACCCTCTCTGGCGTGGTTGGTATTACGAAACTCGACTACGGCGTTTCTCCTAGGAAGTTAGTAAATATGTGAAATTAAGTGTTACGCAAATAATAATAAATTTCTATTTCTTACATATATCTGTTCAAGTTGTCACGAATGAGGGTTAACTTTATAGCCCTTGCTTTAGGAAAAACTTGCTTCAGATCGTCAATGGTGGAACTCAATGGTAATCCGGTGATTTGTAATCTGAAAATGAGTGTCATAATTAAATATTTACACAATTTCTCAAACCTTAAACTTACTGGGTTGTCGATTTACGACTGGAGGTAGAAATTGAGTCGTCTTCTTTCTCAGAGGCCTGGGACACCTCGTCAGCGTCCTCCATCTTGGGGTGAAACGGCGTTGCCGCACGCCTCTTAATTTTCTCGTTACGGTTTACTGTAGGATCTGCGGGTGGTTCTTTGAAGAAAGGTGACAATCATTACCAAAATAGCTCAGGAATCATAATTATCAGAAAAATACCTGCATCACTATTTGACGCCGAAGACTTTTGCAAACTTTCAGTTGATTTTGGATTCTTAATGACGCTTTTCTTATGTTTTTCTCTATAAGAGCGTTCTACTCCCCGATTTTTACTCTCGCGTCTTTGTCCAAATTCAGTTTGACTTGACCTATTAATCTCGGTAATGGAAGGCTCCTTCTTTCTAGATTCTTTACACTTATCAACTTTTCGACAAACAACTTCCTCCTCCTCGACATCAGTGATTTGTTCGTCATTCTCGGAATTATCGTCGGTGAATTTGACCTGTGACTTTTTCTTGCCATTACGAGGAATAATGTCTGCAATGAAGGCTGATGCCACGCCTTTTAATTTAAGAATTTTGTATATGAATGAATGGTACGACTTGACAATGCTAATTAAGTGAAAATGCTTCAAATATTTAATTACGGGACATTGGTCTCCCTAACCCAGCCAGAGTTTTCGAATACACCTTTTCCGGTGTTAGGTTGTGGTTAAAAGCCCAGTATGGATTTAATAATGAAGTCGCAGAAGTATTCTTTTGCTGATTTTTCTTATTCGAAACTGCGTCATACTTTTTCCTATCGCGTAAGGAATCTTCCGAAGAATTTCTGCTTCTGTTTTGTTCCGCTATTTGTGACGCAGCCTGTTCTCGAGAATGGCGTTGGAGCGACTTTGCAGGTTTGAGCATTTGTTCTCGGGACGTGTACCCTTCATTCCTGGGTGGACCTTTGGGAGGCAGTTTCCTAATGGTGGCGTCGTCGTTGGAACTTTTTTGCGTCGAGTTGGATCCGGAGCCATTTTTTCCACTGGAATCGAGTTGACTGACATTTGATCCAGATTCTGTGTGGGGTAAGACATGCTTAGGCGTCAGCTTAACTTTAGTCCTCGGCATGATTTGTTTGTTGTTTTACGACGATTTATGATGTCGATAACATCAACAGTTAACTACTGGTTGCATACTACTATCTATGAGAAATAAATTTAGAATGTGCGGAATTTATGTACATACTAAAAATTTTGATTTTAAAACTCTGTCTGTTGTCTAAATAATTTTGGTGTATGAATTTAGCTGTCTACTTCATTAAGCCACAAATTGCATGACAACTTCGTCAATTTTCATATTTTATTTTTTAGGCCTTCATACTTTTCGACAGTTCTGACCTGGGTCTTGAAATGGAAGAGAAATTGGACTATCAATGCGAAGTAAATGTCTGCGTATTTTATATTTTATTAATATTTGAATGGAATTTATATTTATCATCATCGAACATCACTAATAATATGCGGCTTGTTTTGTTGAATAAAGATTTAATTGTGGTTGCGTTATCCTGAACCTGCGGTTCTCACTTCTATAATGAAATTTAGTCTGATTTGATTTTTGTGGGGATAGAAATGTAGAAATGGATGAGGAGTTGGATAAAAATAAGCTTTGGAAAGATTTCCTGCGCCAAGAGCTGGAATTATACAGTGATTAGGGGGACGAAGAATTTGTGAATATTCCCATGGATGACTGATGTAGCTTCGGTAGTAGATATTGGTATTTCATGGAATATTCCTTCTAACAAGGGGTATAAAATTTTGATCTCATTCTGTATGAAAGTATATCAGTTAGTGTTATTTTGTAATTTGCATGAAGATCTTTTCTAACTCAAGTTCATTAATTTGTGTTGCTTCTTTCTTCTGCGATTAAATTATGTAATTATGCATTTGATCAGAAATGAAACATGTTTCATTACAATGTAATATAGAGGTGGCAACCTCTATATTACATTGTATTTAGCTATGATTGTAATTACTAAATAATAGTTAACTAATAAATAATACCATTTTTGAACTTCGAACAGATCGCGACTCTTCTGATGTAAGCGAAAGTTATGATACTATCATCATGATAGTGGTTCCAACTCGTACGGTTCTGGTGAATGTTTTAGGAACTTTTCTGTCCCTGATGAGTCAGAAGATCAGACAGACAGACACACATACAAGCCGCTTTCAAAAGCCCTGACTCGGGACAACGCTACTTTTGTATTATAATCGTATGAATTTTATATTATAAAGTACAACTACGCAGAGCCCGAGCCAGGTGGCACACTCGTCGGTTGATAATTTTTGTAATTTCCGAGTTGGCACCTCCGCCTCCACCAAACCATTTATACCGAACAAGTCTATCAAGCCCGCCTCTGCGGGCCGTGTGCATAATGGAGACGTACAGCTAAGGTTCCTATTACGAAGATGTGCAAGATAGGAACTATTTGAGTTTCGCTTAAATTTTGTGTTTTAAATTTATCAAGTTTCTCGGCGTATCAATATCCTTAAACAATATAACCTTTCTAATTTTCCATGTTCGGGTGCGAATTCTTTGAAATTACATGATCACTGAACACTCGAAGGGTAACATTACCCAAAACTGCACGTAATTTAAGGTCATGTCCGCAAATTGCCCCTTTAATATTCCAGCCGTCAAATTTTCACCAGAATTCAATAGACAGATGTTTAAATAATTTTTAGACTTAATTAAAATCTACATTAATATTTCTCACAGTAATATTCATGACCTGGTGCAAGATAATTTAAGTACATTAATCTAAATTTGTAGTAGGGACCACGTCTGGGATTAACTGTATTAATACTTCGCCTTGTAAATAAAAAGTAAAATGGCGTTCCGTTGCATTAAAGGCAACCAAAATTATTCTGCATCAATTCTGCAAAAAACATAAATACGTCTTGAGCATCGAATATATTTCCTAAAATAACACTCAAATAATTATGCATAATTAGAATATCATATTTAAGCTACACTATAATTATCACATTATCACATAAAGCATGTGAGACACCGCCGTATGGTTGAGCATTGGACGCACAATAAAAAGGAACTGAGAATCTTGAGGACCAATAACAAAATGGTGAGCTGCTTACCGCGCGAAATGTTTGTAAACATTGCTTGTTGGATCAGCAGACAAAATTGTCAGTCTCCCGAAATTCATTAGAAACAATGGGTTCCGTTTGCTTGCTGGATCAGCAGACAAAATTGTCAGTCTCCCAAATTTCCTTACAAACGATGGGTCCTGTTTGCTTGCTAACTTACATATCATGCCACACCTCACGAAGAGAGCCGTCAGCGATTCCCCACTCCCACTTGGATCGGAGCACCCGAGCAGTACAGAGCTCTCTCGATTTTAAGATTAAAATTGCTCAGGAAGTTGTACATTTAATTACAAAATTAAACGAAAATGAACTCTCCTTCTTCTTCAATTGGATCTTGTTCGTCGACAACTTCAAAGACGGTAAGTAATTGAAAATTTTTTACGGTTTGACATAAAATAAATACTACTTCAAATACGCTCAGTAATTTAAAAAATTTGTTACCCTTTAACATGAAATAAATTTATTTGATCCTCTTAGCTTTGCTTAATTTGCGATGAATTGCCTGCAATGTACACCATCGCAGCGAACAATAATGCTGGGGATGGAACAAAACCATGTGGCCATCATTATTGCGTGCAGTGTTTGATTAAACACGTGAGTTCATCAGCGAGCGGGGATCAGTTCTCGCCCACCCATCAACCTAGATGTCCGTTTTGTGTGCGGGATATTTGTGGCTTCTTGCCGCTGGATTCCGCCAATTGTAAGTAATCATCTTCCTAAATTAATAATTTTACTTATTTACTTACTTTATTCTACTTTTTATTTTTACTTTTATTTTACTTACTTATATTGACTAAAATTATATTTGCTAATTATATTTTTAGCCTCATTGCAACTTGTTCGTCAAAAGGATTTCGACGGTACCATTGGAGAGATTACAAATCCGTACACGGATGAGAAACTGATGGGAACGGTTTATCAAGGTGCAAAGAAATATTTCTCTTAACTTTGCGGTCAAGTCCAGTTTGTAATTTTAATAGTATAACTAATTGAAACCAATTTATTTATTAGACTTGACCTACTTGAGCATCCTTCGCATGGAAGAACAAATCCCTCCAGTAATCCCGTTCGAGAAAATGTCCCCCGTTCATGCGGAACCCAGCTGCCCACCTCATCGATATACTTGCGTGGAATGTGATCTTCATTTCCTGACTGTTCAGGGAATTGTCAGACATGAAGCACGAAATCATTAGCTGCCATCGTTATCAGCTGCGAACTTGGCTCTCCCTTTCCTAATTAACCTTATTATCAGCTTTCAAAATTTTATTTCGATTGGATTTTTAAATTATTATATGTACTCGCTTTCAAAATTATATTTCTATTTGGCTTTTTAAACTTATTCTATTCGTGACTGTTCCAAAATTCAAAATTTTTAATTCTTATCCTTTGGTACCCAATTAGGTTCGACTCAAAAATATTTTAAATAGCTAATCATAATTATTAGTATGTGCGCGTGGGTGGAAGTAGGGCGTTAGTTATTATAGTAGTTTTTAGTCATAATTTTAAGGCAAAGTATTTAAGGGTAGGTTAGAATTTTTGTGGGAAAAGGGTAGCTCACCGACTATGCATTTAATCTTTTCGATCCCCCTTAATCTATAATTTTACCCCCAATAATTTCAAAGGTCCATCCCGTTAAATGCATGGTTGGTGAGCACAGGGTGGGCCCTCCTCTTCTGATTTATACCCTTTTGCAGTAGAGGCCACAAACAATGTGCATCCATTTTATGAACCACAAATTGAATCCCACCCCTTTTTAGTTAATGAATTTAGTATAGTTTATAGTTTTTAACCTGGGCAAGTTCCATCCCCATTAGGTCCAGTTGTTCATAAAATGGATGCACAATGTACCACGCACATGTTTATTTAATATTTTTATAGAAATTTTTTGTACAATAAAATATCAATATTCCAATCAATTTATCAAACTCTCTATCAAACTATGTAAACTGGCGAACAATTTTTTATAAACTTGAACATTTCATCAAGCTTATTAGCAAATTAGTACTTCTGTGGTGGCGAAATATGAGTAGCCAACTCATTTGTCGTCAACTGCTAGGCTGTTCGGGTCTTTGCTAATTTTATTTGTATTAAGCTCTCAACTTTTGAAACTTTATTGTGGAATTATGCCATATGGAGTTTCATCGGAGTTATCTTGTTAATGAATTTCTAAAACAAATTAAAACACATTAGTAACATTTTAAATTTGAACAAAAATTCATCCATCTAAAAAACCTAATAATCTCCAAATGTTGTCATAGTATGTTCAACCTTAAAATTACAGCGACGAATAAATATAGGTCATGGAGATTTCCTAAACACTTTCCAGTGCTACCGATATCATTATAATTTTTTATTAGGCGCCATCCATAAATTATGTCACGCAAAAATCGCGATTTTCAAGACCCACCCCCCATCCTTTAACATGTGTCACATAGGCACGATATCATTGGAGCCTTAGACCCACCCCCCCATCCCTTGCGTGACATAATTTATGAACGACGCCTTATTCCACTAAGAATCCTATATGCGACTTATGCGTGTATTACTAACCAAGCTTTAAAAAGTTTAGAAATACATTTTGCATGTAGAATTTGTTTTTTACGCAACGGGCTCAGTCTTACAATCATTGCCCGGTTGCGATTAAATTGTGAATTTATTATAAATATTATATCATTTTATTTCTGAAGTACATCCTTGAAGACAACATTCCTCGTGAAAACCTTATTTGAATTTTCTAATAATTTTCCTTGCTCGGTCATATCACGTACATAAACTCTAACGTCTGAGGACCTTCTAACTCTTGAAAATGCAACGTAAAGTTGTCCATGACTGAATACTGGAGTAGCCAAATAAATTCCAACCTTGTCCAAAGTCTGACCTTGGGACTTATTAATAGTCATAGCAAATGCTAGCTTAACAGGGAATTGCAGTCTTCTTAGTTGAAATGGAAGATCAGAATCTGCTATAAGGTCAATTCTAGGGATAAAGACTATGTTTCCCTCAGCTGATCCTGTAAGAACCTTGGCAATAATCAAGTTTGGCTTTAGTTCAACAACAA